TTTACTCATGAAAAAAATAATTCTGCAAGTTAGTCAACTTTTTAAGAAGCCTGCACCCCTTCTCATGTTGGTAGAAGCCTCTAGAAATGTCTTGCAATCACAGCTTAGAAAGAAAGAAGCCTGCAGGCTTCAGTCCTTTTCAGTATCCATGTGGAAAACCATCCAGACAAGGCCAAACTCTGACAAATAATTGGTTCATGCCATTTGCAACTCTTGCAAGTGTGGCAGCTGAATTCTTTCAAGATGTTATCATCACTCTTCTTCTACTAGCTTCTTTTGGGCTCCTCTGCAGGTCATTCTCACAAAGACACATGGTATTTTCTGTCTTGGGCCAGAGGTTATGCAGTAATGCTATACTGACATTTTACATTTCCTTTCATGTCTGTTAATTCCATTCTTTGCTTAGTTCATTAATTAAAACTGGACCCAGGACAGGATGAGCATGACTGGTAGTGGAGGATTCTCACCATCCACCATTCTGCTGACAATTTCCTGCTTCTCACTTCAAGAGGTCGCCCTGCTCTCATCTATTCTTATCCTTTCCACTCTCCTGTAAATTAATTTACAAACTCACTTCTGACAGCCACCGTCTCACTGAGACTGGTACCCAGAATGAATTTAAATACATGGTGTCCTGTGACTTTCCCTAGAGACAAAGAAGCAAGAGGCTGACACCTGGCACTACAGAAAAGGTCTCTGAACTTTTATGCCTGCCATATACATTTAGATGCTCACACTGGAACATCTTGGTCTGCATATCTTGCAAGGACTGACTCAGTGACTGCTCATTAAATGACTGTTCCATTAGATCTCCCAGCATAGGAGAAAATGATACTTTCATCAGGAAATTGTTCTGCTGCTTGACATGAATGACAGGGAGGCTGGACAGACGTAATTATGAACACAGAAACTGGACTACCCCAGGTCACATAAGGCAGAACTCCTTACTAGGAAAAGCCAGGGAAAACCACTTGTTTCTTCTACATTCTTGACTTCAGGTATTGTGTTCTTGTATTGCATTGAGTTGATCCTGAGATTCAACTCATGCCCAAAACAAGGCAGAATGTTTTGATGAATAATGCAACCCTTCTCTGGGAGACAGGCACACTCCATTTAAAGAAGACCTTATGCTGTTTTGAGGGAGGAATGTATTTCCTGGCTGGAAGTTTCAGAGAGACAGTCAGATGGAATCAGGCAGCTGACCCAGTGTGTGGCGCCACACAAAGGAATGAACCAAAAAACTGTGAGCCAACATGATTTCACAGCTCATTAATGGAAGGTACTTTGAAATTCCTTCTATAATTTCAGGATCCATGCCACTTCAGTCATCAGGGCCTGTAACTGCACCATAACTTCTTAAAAGAAGTATCTCAAAAGTGAATGCTTAGTAGAAAAAAGGACACTTCAGCAACTTCTGTCACAACATGTATGGAGGACCTTGTACTCAAGAGTGTCAGATGCTATTTTTTCCTTCCAGAGTAAAGGAAGGACCTGAGAATTACTGGTGTTCTCAGATTTATTTCTTACTGCCTGCAGTGGTTACGTCACTCTGCCAGGGAAAACCTCATTTCTACAATGCACAGGTTTGCATTTTTTTATGTGCATGAACACAGCATAAAGCCACTAAAAGTTAACTCGGGAAACCTCACAGGAGTGTGGAAAAGACACTTGGATACAGTCTTAAGTACACTTGTCTGGTGCAGGATATAGTACTTGCCACTATGGCAAGTCACCCATAAAATACTGGCTTGGAAGTCTAGTTTCGTAAAAATTAGGGGAGACAAGGAGTAACTGTTGATTCAAGACCCACACAGGTGTTAGAAGCAGTTACCTCCAATTTTTAGAACAAGGACTACTTAAATAAACCATTCACCAACCTCAGGCTATGGCCTAGGTTCCAATGGAAAGAGGCTGAGCAAAATAGCACACCAGACTACGGACCCAGCAAACAGTCTACAGGACTGCATGGGAATGCTCACTCTCCAGCCTTGAAACACAAAATTTGACCAGTGTGGTGGGATCAAAAGACTAGTTTTACAAGGGGATTATTTCAGAGTAAGAAACTCAGCCACGGGTTGAAGAGCAGTATAGTTTGCCTCAAGCTCCACAGGTACAAGCTGCACAAACCACCAATCTACAGGTCATTTATCTGGGAAGTTATGTGCTGCTTCCTACCGCAACAACAGCCCCTCAAGGGTGAGAAGTATTTAAGAAGCCAGTCTTATTCTGCTCATTTGTGGAAGCTGGCTGCAGAGACCCTGGTGCTTACAGCAAAGCAGGGAAACGGTGCCGGCAGCAGATGGAAAAAAAAGGCAAGTTGCCTGTCATAATCCTTCCAACAGAGCGATCTATAACTGTTTACACAAGTATGGAGAGAGAGTTTCCAAGATGAAACAGCTGCCCCAAAAGAGGGTAATGTGAATTTGTAGTGTGAAGACTTCCAACTTCCATCTCAAAAGCACTAAGGAACTCAACAATTTGCAACAGCGGCACATTTGCACAAGCAAAAAGAGCATATGATCTCTCCATCCATAGACAGACGGGTTCCCACCAAAGAATAGCTCTGCTTTGGCGCAGGTAGAGTTATGGTGTTATCCAAATGCTGTCTGCAGAAGGTAAATGAATTTTGGTATTCCTAGACACAATATCTGGCAACTCAGAGGGCAAATGAACAATCATATAATTCTTTCAAGACTTGGGCAAGAAAGACCCAAGAGCAGAAGTCAGAAATGTGTCTGAAACCTACTTCACAACAGCTATTGCAAGTGCAAAAATTAAATTTTCATTTCATTTCTGTAAAAAAAAAAAAAAAGTGAAAAAGACCTGGAATTCAACACCATGGAATGGTGGGATGGAAAAGAGTAATTTTCTGTTTGGAACTGGCCAAATAAAATGGAACTACAATGTACTTGTCTTCTCCCAAGGGCCAGATGGAAAGGACTGGCATTCTGTCAGCAAGTCAGATCCCCCAGTGTCCAACTGTTCCAGACAGCTGCACTATGCTGTTGTTGTCAACCCCTTCAATCTCAGGAAGCATATACTTGTTCCTTCCTGAAGGCAAAGTATGATGATGAGACAAAGTTCCTGTTAGGCAAAGAGGAGATACCAGAGTGCCAAAGAAGGCAAGCCTGACAAGACATACAAGTTCAGGTTCATGTTCCTTAGGAACATGTATCTGGGTAGTTACTTTGCCTGTACACTGATGGGATTTATATTGCTTTTGAACATGTGCTTCCGATGTTGACTGCAAAATGATGCACATGAGATGATGATACAATCTTTAAGAGACTCATACAGATACTTTAAATTGTCATAAACTAAACTGCACTTGAACACAGTTGTTGGCAGTAGCTTTCCTTTCATGCAGTTTTGATGTTCTGCTGTGCACAGCTTTTCAGAGATAAGGCCTGAAGAGTCACTGCATGCATGCTTGCAGTGACTTTTTGAGGACTACACATATGCACACACACACACAGAATGCCCTGTCAGCAGGAATAACACAACTTGTGGGCTCTAACAAATCTTTAGACCTGAACAGGTTGAACTGAGAATGAACAGAACTAAATGCAGTACTGGGAAGCAAAGTTCTGGGGTCAAAGCTGCAGACTCATCAGCTCTGGTTTGCTGGGGACCCATTTCACACAAACACACGGACTAGAAGGTACTGCAAACAAAATCGGAGGCAAGCAACTTAAAGACAAACTCGGATTTTAGTCATTCATGATTAATAGAACGTTAAATTTAACTTTTCACTTCATAGCTTAGATATACTGCACCAGTTTCTGCACAGACTGAACTCCTTCAGATTTTGGATCCTTAGTTTGGATTCCTATTATCTGAGGCACAGGAGATGCAGCCATCTTGTTTTACAGTCCATTACAGAAGGAGAATCTGGTATGTATTTTCACTGGGCAAATCAAGCGTTCAGCAAAGTATTCTCGGCCTTCAGGATTCCTGGGTTCGGCCTGTGGTTTGGAGGAGAACAAGCAAAGGAGCCCGACTTTGCTCAATCCCTTCGGATTTCAAAATGAATCAGAGGCATCAGACTGAAACAATAATGAGTTTCTCTGCCCAATTAATATGTTTCCTTAAGCACGGGCACAACCAGCAGCTTCTCCTTAACGACTTCCCAGAGCTTTCACCGGCTGTACTTGCCGCCGGCTGCAGGCACCAGCCGCCCTCTGAAGTCCGTGCACGCTGCAGGCCAGTAGCCGGTTTCAGCGGCTGGGTCTCTCCATCCGGCTGCGTCCCTCTGACAGAGTCACGGAGGCTCCTCTCGTACCGCGCACCGCCCGAGACCGCCGCTCCGCTGCACCTGGCGCGCGCCGCCCGCCGCAGCCATATCCCCCAGCTCGGAGGAGGGCGCCGGGCCGGCCACCGTTTCCCCCCCGCCCTGCTCCCCGCAGACCATCGCTCCCGCGGGCTGTCCTCAGGATGCACGGGAGCGGAGGGGAGCGGAGCAGCGCAGCTCCCGCTGCCAGGCCCGGGCGGGCCGCAGCACCGTCACCCACCCCCTCCCACCACGCGCCCTCCCGCGCGCTCCCGTCACGCGGCAGCAGAGAAGCTGCGGCGGCCCGCGCCATGACTCTCCCGTCACGTGCGGCGGCCCGGCCAATGGGCAGTGAACGCCTCAGCCCCGCCCCTCCGCGCGGGGGCGGCTGCGGGAGGAGGAGGCGGCGGCGGGGCGCGACCGCGATTGCCATCGCGGCGGAGACAAAGCGGGGCGGGGGGCGCGCGGCGCCCCAGAGCAGCAGCAGCAGCCGCCGCCGCCGTCAGCCAGCGGGCGCAGCACGGCGGGGGGCCCCGCCCCGCCTTGCGGTGCGGTGCTGGCCGTCCGGCGGGGGCAGTGACCGCCGGCAGGGGGGGGGCGGGCGGGGAGGCCTCGAGGCGCACGCGGCCCGGCCGCCGCCGCAATGGCCTTGGCTAATTACAGCAGCCTGAACCGGGCGCAGCTCACCTTCGAGTACCTGCACACCAACTCGTGAGTACCTGGGCGGGCCGCGTGGCGGCCGCCGGGCAGGGCTGCCGTGGGGCGGGGCTGGGGCCGCGCTGCCCGCCCCTCCCCCGGTGCCCGTGACTGTGGGTGATTACGGGGGCGCCCGGCCGAGGCCCCGCAGCACCGCGCTGCCCGCCCTTTTCCCCGCTCGTCCCGGGCGCCTCGCGGGCTGTTAACGGCTCCGCTGCCGCGCACGGGGGGCGGGCGTGCGGATCTGGGGAGTAACAGTGGCTGGAGAGCACGGACCGCTGGGGGTTCAAGGGTGCCGCCTCGAGGGCAGCCGTAGTCTCAGGAACGTGCCCTTGCAGTGCAGGCGCTGCCATCCCTCCAGCAGCACATTTCATTCGTGCCCGAATATTTCGTGCAGGTATATTTCAAGCAGGAATATGACATTCTTCTTGTGATCGCTTTTTTGAAGCTGCTGTGGCTTTTTCGTGTCGCTGATGAGTCCTCCAAACTAAAATCTTCTGAGAAGAGACAAAGTTCTTTTTCAAAGGGAGTTATATCAGGGTGCCTTTCTCGAAAATGACAAGCACCGCCAGGAAATGATGTTTACCAGGGTTAAGCACTCATCTTCCTGTTGCACCTAAGTTTTGTAGTGCCACATACAGAAGAGTTTAAAGAGAGCTTGTTCTGGCTGAACTGCCTTGGAAGAACAGTGTGGAACCACACTTGGCATTTCCTCATATTGATCAGCTGATCACCAGCGTAAGGTTATCTTCTAACGACTCATGGAAGAGTTGACTCTTACTGCTACCATCAGTAGAAGAAGAAATAAAGTGCAGGCTTAACTGTTCATTTCCTTTGTGTGAACATAAGCTTAGAATGGAGGACCACAGTGGTCTGCAGCAGTCTGAAGAATTCTGATTTACGATCAACTTCATTGCAAAGTAGGTTTTGTTGATAACTCAGGATACATCTGCAAGAGCAACTAAGATGAATCTCCTATGCCAAGAGCATTATAACCCGTTTCTTTTCAGAATCAGGAAGATAATGGTTTTTGCACAGGAGAAGAAATCTAGTAACAGCCTGGTGTCACCCTTGGATCCATGTCCTGTGGCTTTGCTCTCTTTCTTGACTGGTAGTGGTTACATGTGCAGTGAACAGTCTGGTCCCTGAAGACAATGGATGAAACTGACTCATGTTCTTGGTGCTGTCACTGATTAGTGAAATTCTCATATCCATCTGCAGGAAACAAACTTTTTTATAGATTGGAAGACCATACGGCAGAGCTCTCTCAGCAGCTTGTGTTTGCCTGCAGAACACCAGAAAGCTGTTCATAAGAAGTTAATGTTTGTGCTGCAGAAGAAGCTGATGTATTGCTGCCCCTAAGTACCAAATACTAAAGCTACTTCATGTTGCCACCATACTTCCTGTTCTGCTTGTTCTGCTGGTCTCTTTCCAGTGTGCCACATGTCTGCATTGTCTAACTACATTACAAAATTTTTAGGAGGAGGTGGAAGCTAATGAGTATGAACAAGCCAGAGCCAGGGCTTTTGGTGCATCATGAGTGAAGAGCCTCTTCAGATACGGGAATAAGCATAAGACAAATGCTTCACTAAGAATGAGAGTGGAAAAACTTGAGTCATTATAAAAGCAAAAAAACCCCAAACCACTCAAACCAACCCATGACAAATAAACACCCTCCCCTACTCCCTCAAGAAAAAAATGAGAAAAAAACCACAAACCACACAAAACCAACCTATGAGCAGCATAGGGCTTTTGATTATGGAGACTCCCGTCTTTTGGACTGCTCTCTCTTGCTAGGAAAGCCTTACCATCTCAGAAAAAAAATCATTTCAGTGCTAAAGGTGTTCTTACAGTCATGGAGGTAGAAGTTCCTCAAATTGTAGTTAAAAATCAGCCATCTGGCTGTTGAGGTGCAGAAGGAAGCCATGACTTCTCTTTCTTTCTCCTTTAAGACTTCCTTTAGAAAAAGTTTTAGTGTATCTAACACAGAGTTCTCAGTCTGAAGTGCTTTACAGAAGCCAGTTTATCTTGCCTCTGAACTTGAGGACTTGCAGTAGATCTTTTCAGTAGCTGCTTAATGCTTACATGTCTGATGGCAAATTTAACAGCATGTATCTGAATCACTTCAGTTGCCATACTTTTTTTTTTTTTAAACACGAATATAGCTGTGCTTTTCCAGGCACTTTTCTTGAGAAATAATTGAATAGGGACAGACTTTTAGTAGTGCCTGTAGTGACAGGACAAGGGGTGATAGTTTTAAAATGAAAAAGGGGGATTTAGACTAGGTATAAGGAAGAAATGTTTTACGATGAGGGTGGTGAAGCACTAGCACAGTTTGCCCAGAGAGGTGGTAGGTGCCCTGTCTCTGGAAACATTCAGGGTCAAGTTGGACAGGGCTCTGAGCAATCTGATCATATTGGAAGATGTTCCTGCTCAGTTTGGGGGGGGTTGGACTAGATGACCTTCCAATCCAAACTGGTCTGTAATTCTTCTGTGTGAATATTCTTTTAGATCCTAGAATGAAAACCACGTGTGCAAACGTGGAAATTGCCCATGCATTGTTTTTATGAGGCAAGCCACTTGCTTGGGTTCACATTACTTTTCCTTAAAAGTAAATTGTTCAAGGTATTTCCAGTGCCATTCATTAAAGTAATCACAGAAACACACCTGAGCCCAGGCAACTTTGGTTTGCATATTTTTAATATCTGCAGTGCAGAAATGATGGAGTTTTTTAAAAGTTGAACAGTTGAAATTTTCTTCTGAGAGTATGTAGGGTTTAGCTTGTAATTGAACTTCAGGGATGTTTTTTTTTCCTGTAACTAGAATTGTCCTGTTGAATGAAGCTTGAGTGGAAGAAAGTCACTCAGAAAGACTTCAAAATAACTACATGGTGTTCTTAATGAATATTAGTAATAACAGACCAGTGTTCTCCCATTCCCCAAGCTCTGTCACTTCCTTCCTGTGCACTGTTTTCTGTTCTGGCCTGAAATGTAGTGCAGTACTGAGAGAATAGTTCTTGGTCCTGAGGCAGGTGCCAAACTTAAATGTTCTCCTGGATGTGGCCTCTTTTCAGAACAAAAATGAAGTCTTACATGTCTCATTAGTACTTGCCTGACTGTGCAGGCTTAGGAGTCCAGCTGGGCTTAAACGGGTGACCCTTTTAAGCTTTTCTTCCCTTAGGATGTTAGGATAAATAGTTGTTGTAGAGGTGTTTGAAATTTGTCATGTTCTACGGAGTCATCTGACTTGGCCTTTTGTAACCAACATTTCAGTAAATTGTCAGCATTGGACTTCCCCATTGCATTTCTTGTCCTGCATGGAGCTGTCTTGAATGAAAACTGGAAGTTGTAGGGAAGTCCAAGCCAGTTTGTTTCTGCCACGATGAGTTGTTGCTGAGACTACAGATGTTGATAACACTCTCCCCCACTTCTGTGTGTTATTCAACAGCACAGTTGTGTGACCTGTAATAGATTTATTTCTCTGACTCATGGACGTTACTGATGCTTCTCATGAGGCCCACCTAGCTTACACTAAAGTGTTTCCAGGTCACGTGAAAGCTCTGATAGACTCAGTTTTGCCAACAGCTTATCTCATGTTTTTTTAAACTTATGTTTCAAGTAAAATAATCCCAAGGTTTTGGGAGATAGGGGGAAAAATTGTCACCAGTTGATAATTTTGGACATTAAGTATTTCAGGCACTTTTGACCATAAGACAAGTTAGTGGCTTTTGGTAAAGCTGAGTCACTTCATATGACTTTAGTTAGGTATTGACAAGACAAATATAAGTGTTGCGATTAATATACTGAATAGAAGATATTTATAGTGTATCTAAATTTTTTGTTAGCTGGAGAGAATTTCACTTGTTTGTACCAATGTGTCGCTTTGCCTCTGTCAGCACGCGAGGTTCCAGTTTTGGTAGATGTTCAAACTGAGTATTATGTGGAAATAATGTTTTGTCTTGCCTCTCTTATAATTTACTGCTATGTTTTTATATTTTTCCAAAAATACTGTTCCAAAATATTGTTCCATATTTTCCTTTGGAAATCCCAATTTGTACCTTATCCGCATCTTTTCCTTAGTTTGAAGCATTTTTTAAATTGTAGAGTGAAAACAGCTAAAGAGGCATGGTGACTAGTGCTAAAGCATCCATTTGCTGATGGGCTTTTCCTGGCAGGGGCTACTTCCTAAATAAACTTCTGGGATGTTGATTTATGAAACTGAATCTGTGTTTATAAACTCGAGGGAGCACTTAAAATCAATGCACAAGGGTTCTTTGACCCCAGCCGGCAACTAAGTACTAGGCAGGCACTTGCTAATTCCTTCTATCCCCTGGCAGGATGGGAAGGAGAATCAGAAAAGGTAAAGCCTATGGGTTGAGATAAGAACAGTTTAAGAATTGAAATAATAATAATAGTAATTATGGTGAAGAAGAGAAGGGGGACAACAGAAGGAGGAGACTAAAACCCAAGAATGACAAGTGATGCACAATACAATTGCTCACCACCCACTGACCAATACCCAGCCAGACTGAGAAGCAGTCCTCCCCATCCAGCCCACTCCCCCCAATTTCTATACTGGGCATGACATGCTGTGGTATGGAATATCCCTTTGGCTAGTTTGGGTCAGCTGTCCTATCTCTGCTTCCTCCCAGCTTCTTGTGCCCTTTGTCACTTGCAGAGCATGAGAGACTGAGAAGTCTTTGATCAGGGTAAGCATTACTTAGCAACAACTAAACCATCAGTGTGTTATCAGCACTGTTCTCAAACTAAACCCAAAACACAGCCCTGTGCATCAGCTACAGGGAAGAAAACTCCATCCCAGCAGAATCCAGGACAACAGAAAATCCTGCTCAAAGGAAAGAATACAAGGGATGAGCTTCTGGGGAAGCTTTCTGATTTGGAAGATAGTCTTCAAAACACTATTCCCTTCTGTCTCCTGTTTCTGTGTAGGCAAGTGGGAGCTTGCAGAGATGAAAGAGAACCATTCTAATGGTTCTGGTGATAACTTCAAAAGTGGATATGTTTTACCTCTGACTCAAGCTGTGTTGATTGGTTAGGTGTCATGACACTGAAGATGGATATCCAAGTTCATTTTGTGACTTTTAGTGTTACGGACAGCTATGTTTTATATGTGGGAAGTATCTATGCATTTGTTCTCTGAAAGCTGAAAATATGAATAAGTATCCATTTTTTTGGTCAGCTGTTGTCCTTTTTGTGTGGTAGTCAAACAGGTTTCATGCCGACTGAAACATTGATAAAAGCAGTTTCTGAGGACCTGTCTTTTCATTAAACATCCTAGAGGAGCAACAAATTCCATCGACTGTTGCTCCAGACTTTGTAGCTGCTGTTAGTATGGGGGTTGATGTGGCTCATCTACATTTGAAATAATCGTTAGGTTTTGAAGATAGGTCACTAGGTTGGGTGTTCAGCAAAGATACTGCATTAATGTTGGCAGACAATGTGTTGTAATGAATTTGTTAGTTCTTCAAGGTTTTCTCACCATGTGTCTTTCAAGGTTGAGGCATATAACTGATGGTTTTCAAATGGGTGCTGCTTATAAAAGGTGGCAGTTAAGAGGCTGGAAACTAAATATGGCTTCTGAGATTGTGCTGAAACGGTACCCAGCTAGATGATTTTAGTATTGAGTTTGGAAGGTGGTGTGGTACACTGATGGCAGAAGACTGTCATTCTATGGATTAGAAGCAGTTGCAGCTATTGAAAGTCTCCCAGGATCTGGAAGCTTCTGCCTGTCAGAAATAGCCTACACAAAGCGAGTATGTGCGTTGGGGAGATAGATCTTATGCATAACCCTCATCTGTCTGTCTTTTACATACAGGCAGTGTTTAGTTGCCATGAAGGCAATTAAATCCATTACAGAATTATGTGAATTGTTGACTTGTTCATAGGCTGGTTCATTGAGTCAGCAATTTCTATTTTGTCTGTTTACCACGCCATGTTCTTCAGACTGTAGTAAGCAGCAGTTTGTTGGATCAGCCTCTCCACGGGGCAGCCTGTCTGCTGTGTCTCTCTCTGACAGGTGACAGAGTGGTCATTTCTAGTCTGCTGTCAGTCATTGCTGTAGACATACACTTGGATTTGTTTAAAATGAGGTTGAGATTCTCATTTATTTAAAGGTCTCTCTTTCTAAGCATCAGTGTTACCCTGCTGATTCTGTGTTTCATTGCAGAACCACCCATGAGTTCTTGTTTGGTGCCCTTGCTGAACTTGTAGATAATGCCAGGTATGTACCTGAGACTGCCTAATTCCCAGCATAAAATTGGTAAAGACATAATCAACCTGTCTATTTGTTGATCTTGAGCAATTTCCACTTTTAGTAGATGGCACAAAAAATACCCAGAATTGAAGACTTTGCTGAGGCTTTGTATAGGTATTTCCTTTGGTCCTCTTACACAAAGGACCTCTGGTCTCTTCTCCCAAGGAACAAGGGATAGGACAAAAGGAAATGGTCTCAAGCTGCACCAGGGAAGGATTAGACTGGAGATTAGGAAAAACTTCTTCCGCAAAAGGGTGATCAGGCATTTGCCTCCTAAAAAAGTTAGGTTTGAGTGAATCATAGAGCAACTCAGATTGGAAGGGAGGTTGCTAGAAGACACAAGATAGATTTAAGGAAAAAATAAGCATGCCTTTTTGTTTACAGAAATTGGTAAAATAATAATTACTGGAGCTGGGATTCTTAAGTTCTTAGATAATCCTGGACTCTTAATATCAAGCATGGTGATAGGATGAAAATGACATCAGAAGCAGGATGCTGAAAAGTAGTGCAAGAACAGTTAGAGCAGTTGTGATATCTGAGACTTGGAAATTGCAGGTTTTGGACCATGTTTGCATTTGGGAATCCAGGCTATAGCTGTTTCCCAAGTCTTGCATGCTCATCTCTTCATAAAATAAAGGCTGAGACAGGCTAAGAAAGTTTGAGCTGTTCAGCATGGGGAAAAGAAGCTGCGTGGAGACCTCAGAGCAGCTTCCAGTGTCTGAAGGGGCCTACAAGGATGGTGGAGAGGGACTCTTCATCAGGGACTGTAGTGATAGGACATGGGGAATAGGTTCAAACTGAAACAGGGGAGATAGAGATGAGCTCTTAGGCAGAAGCTCTTCCCTATGAGGGTGCTGAGGTGCTGACACAGGGTGCCCAGAGAAGCTGTGACTGCCCCATCCCTGGCAGTGTTCAAGGCCAGGTTGGACACGGAGACTTGGAGCAAGCTGCTCTAGTGGAAGGTGTCCCTGCCTGTGGCAGGGGTTGGAGCTGGACAATCTTAAGGTTCTTTCCAACCCAAACCATTCTATTATTCTATTCTATAAATATTCTGATGGAATTATGGAAATATTTTGAGATCATTTTCTGTCTGTGTGAACTGTCATTCTCTGTCACTCTTAGTTTAAGGAGCTCAAACAGGAAGGTTTTGGTGTAGGGAATCAGCTGTGTGTTTGCACCATTGCTGGTTCACACTTCTGGTACAACATAGTTAAATGTAGTATCTGATATTAATGGGTTATTTTCTCTCCAGCCTGGTTCCTCCTCTGGGAAAAGAGAGGTTGGCCTTCTGGGAAGGAGGTAGCTATACTTGGCTGTAGATATAAAGACAAGACAAAGTAATTTTGGCATTTGGGAAGTGGGGGTTTATTATGATGCTACAACTGCACTCTTCTGATCAGCAAACTAAGGGTATGTGATGGTCTACATGAAAAAAATGTTTGGTTTTGGGAAGAGGGCAGTAATGCTGCTTATGCTGCTTTTTAAATAGAGGATGCACAGTATATGAAGGGCTTTACTTACATGATCTTGTAATGGCACAGTTTCCTATGACAACCGTGAATGTATTTAGATGGAGTTTTTTGTGGAGTTACTAAACTTTTCATAGGCAGCTTGACAGGAAAAATGAGGGTATTGTCTCTTTTGAACAGGAAGGAGCTCAGGCTTATTTGATCCCTCTCCCCCCACAGGACTTATGTTAAAATACTGTCACTGTACAAATACAGTGATACTCTGCTGTAGCTAGGCTTAGTTGTGTGGCAGCAAATGTCTTATGCTGGAGTTTGGGTTCAAGAAGGCAAAAAGTGAAACTGTGTGTTTTCACTTATGTGTTAGTGTTGACTGAGGGCCCTTTATGGACTTTGATCTGTGCAGCAAATATTCATTTTGGAAATTATTGCATGCGCCTGGAGTTCAACTTTTTGACATTTGAATACCAATTGTGTTTTTATTTTGTAGAGATGCAGATGCCACAAGAATAGACATTTATCCTGGTAAGTCATACCTGCTGCTTTATTGCATGTCAACAGTGTGTTCTACCTGGTAGAATTGCAGTGAGCATGCTTATACCCAATACTGTGTTCAGTTTTGGGCCCCTCAGTACAAGAGAGATCTCGAGGTGCTGGAGCAGGGCCAGAGAAGGGCAGCAGAGCTGGTGAAGGGCCTGGAGCCCAGGTGTGATGGGGAACAGCTGAGGGACCTGGGGGGTTCAGTCTGGAGAAGAGAAGGCTCAGGGGGGACCTGATGGCTGCCTACAACTGCCTGAGAGGAGGATGGAGCCAGGAGGGGGCTGGGCTCTGCTCCCAAGGAACAAGGGATGGGACAGGAGGAAACAGCCTCAAGCTGCACCAGGGGAGGTTTAGATGGAGCTGAGGAACGATTCCTTCCCCAAAGGGTGCTCAGGGACTGGACAAGGCTGCCCAGGGCAGCCTGTGTCACCATCTGTACATTTCTAAGAGACAGGTAGATGTTGTGCTTAGTAACCTGCTTTAGTAGTGGATTTGGCAATGGCAAGTTTATGGTTGGACTCAATGATATTAAGAGTCTTTTCCAACCTAAATAATTCTGATTCTACCATTTGTCCTGTGCCCCAGTGCCTGTTGTCTTTCAAAAACTGGTGTCTTCACAAGCAACTCGGGCAAGCACTTAGATCAGCCTCCAGCTGAGGTTAGGCAAAGAGGGTAGCTGTTTATACTGGATGCTTAAGAAACCTGTTTTTACAATATGCTCTTGTAGCATATATGTATGTGCAGTTTAAAGTGCAGGAGGAGTTCTTAGTTATTGTGTAACAAAAATCTGCTGCTCTTTTGTACAGCTTAGCCATGGTGTTATTTGTGCTTGTTGTGTTACTTCTGTCATTAACACTGATTCCATTTTATGGAACTTTTAACTTTTGCTCATGGGAGTACTGAATAATTCTTCTCTTGTAGAGCAACGGGATGACCTACGAGGTGGATTCATGCTCTGTTTTTTGGATGATGGAACAGGAATGGATTCAAGTAAGTTGCAGGAAGTCAAAGTTTCATTTTCAAGCTGAGATTTCATGTTACAGCTTAGGCTCAATTAACAGCATGGTTCTGTTGAAAGGGGCATATTCCATGCCTGGGTACATGTTCCTGCTGATGCACTGGCTCTTTCACACCATATCATGTATCAGTCTGTTCACCTCTTCAGCTGCAGAAAACTAATCTGGCCAAAAGCAGATTGTTTTGCTGCATTATAGAATTAGTCAGCCTGGCCTGTGGTGTTCCAGCACACCAAAGTTGGCCTTGGGGCTGGAGAGAGAACATGGTAGCCAGAAAAGGCAACAAGCACAGGCTTTGGTGGGCATAAGCCTTTTCTCTATTAGAGGACGCCAAGTGGTTGGTGTTTCTCAGCTCTTATAAGAAAGCGTACCATGAAAAAAATTAAAGCTGTTGTAAGAATTGGTGTAGATCTGAGTTGTATCTAGCAGGAGAAAAGCCTCTTGCTTTGCTTTAGCATCAGTGAACAGCACTGGCAACCCACTCCACCTGCTCTGTGTCTTGAAGACAGGTAAATCCTCCTGTGCGGAGCTCTCTACTGGCAGAAAAGTTGGGCTGAATTGGAAGGTTTGTGAGAAGGTAGAGAAGATAAGTAAAGAAGTCTCGACTAACATTTTATTCTGATCCCTCAGTACTTTAAGATGTGCTTGTAATACTGTGGGTTAACTCCAGCCAGCAGCTAAGCACCACACAGCCCAGTGGGATGGGGGAGAGAACTGGAAAGTTAAAATCAAGAAAATTCATGGGTTGAGATAAAGACAGTATAATAGGGAAAGCAAAACTGTGTGTGCAAGCAAAGCAAAGTAAGGAATTCATTAATCACTTCCCATTGGTTGGCAGGTGTTCAGCCTTCTCCAGGAAAGCAGGGGTCTGTCACGTGTAACGGTTACTTGGGAAGAGAAATGCCATCACTCTGAATGTCCCCCTTCTTCCTTCTCTCCCAGTTTTACTGCTGAGCATGACATCCTGTGGTCTGCAATATCCCTTGGGTCAGTTGGGGTCAGCTGTCCCAGCCTTGTCCCCTCTCAACTCCTGGTGCATCCCCAGCTCCTTTGCTCATGGGGCAGTGTCAGGAGCAGAAAAGGCCTTGATGCTGTGTAGGCACTGCTCGGCAGTAGCTAAACCAACACTGTTTCCAGCAGGAATCCAAAACATAGCCCCATCCAAAGCCATTATGGAGAAATTTAACTCTATCCCAGCCAAAACAAGTGCAGATATGAAGTATTTAATTCTGTTTATTAATGCTTATAGAAGTACATTAGCATCTTTGATACACAAATCTGTGACCTGCATGAAGGAATTTACTTTGACCCCCAGATACCTTCTGTGTACTCTCTGGAAAATAATTAAGGATCCTTAAGAGGTCTTCTGAGAGTACTGCCACCAGTGGAATTGAAGGAAGCAATTAAGCCCTATCCATAAAACAGGTTCAGAGACTTAAGTGTGGCCTTCTCACGAACCTTTGGATCAGGGAGAAGAAATACAACCTGTTCTGCGTATCTTGAAGACTACGTGTTTGTGTCTGGGTTGAGTGTAGGTGGTGACAAGTATCTGTTCCAATGCGGCAGAGTCTTAATAGCAGCTTTTATGCTGTTGTTGCTCTTGTATTGCTGATTTTGTGACAAAGTGGTATTTAGGTATTGGCTAAGTATCCAGTTGCTTCTTTTGGCTGATCTTTCTACTAAATAAATCTTGAAGGATTTTATCCTAACTTTGGTAGTCTGAGATCCTCTGTAAAGGAGAGCAGCAGGTACTGTGAGTTGTGGTGGTGTTTCACAGCACTAGACAGCATATATGGCAAATACAATATAATTTACGTCATTTGACTGTTGATGCTTGCATGAAGTGTAGTTCATTCTGTGCCTCAAAAATTTTTATTTTATTTTAGATTTGAGGTTGTGAGGTTACCTTTGCCCCGTTCCAGGACATCGCTTTTCAGATGTGAAATTGCAGCTTGTAGTACTTTTGAAAAAGCCTTCTTAATTTTCAGCAGTCTGAGACATACTGTTTTGATGCAGACTCTGGCTCTGGTGGTCACATCTTCATGGCTTCAATGCTGGGTGGTCATAGGAAGCTTGATAAACTTTTAAAAGTCACTTAACCAAGGGCAGCCAGGTAGAAACTACATTTGCTGCACTGTTCGCCTGTCAACATGGACAGGAATGGCTGGAGAGAGGCTGTTATTCTAACTCCCTACATGGGCCTGTCTCTACACCTGACTATAGAGGCCTGAGTTTTAATTTCTAATAATGCAGGATCTACCAGTTTTAAAGACATCTTGAAGATTTCTTACCTGAAAGCTGATTTTAGGATATGTCAGCAGAAAACCTTTTACTGGACTTTTCTCTCTCCTTATCGTGAAAATAGCATCAAAATCCACACCTTCAGCAGAAATCATAGAGCTTGGGAGGAGTTTATTTTTCCACATGATAATTTAAGTAAGGATTGTTGTAAACTGACATGTTAAGAAGAATAACTGTATGACTTGTCTTAATCCTGTATGTGAATCACTAGTATGTGATCTTCCTGAGTACACTGAAGGGGGAGCTTAGAAGGCTGGATGAGGAGGATGAGCCAATAAACCTGGATATCTCTGGATGCTTTCACACAGAGGGAAGAGCTGAATGGCCCAAGTAAACTGTTCAGTTAACACGTTCTCTGTTATAGAATCATAGAATGGTTTGGGTTGGAAAGGACCTTAAGATCATCAAGTTCCAACCCCCCTGCCGTGGGCAGGGACACCTCCAGTCCCTTTGGTCTTGTTCTGTGTTGGTCAGTCCTAAATTTGTCTGGCAAGCTATGGAAACATAGAAGGGTGTAGTGAGACAATAGCTCAAATTTGAGCGCTCTGCCTGATAGCTCCATTGTCAAGGCAAATGGCAGCTCCCCAAGTAAAATTAGTGAAAGGTATGAGTGATCAGCATTTCTAAAAACTGTTTGTCAAGCGACTCCTACTATAGTTGCATTCAGAACTTGCTGCATTGGCTCTCTTAATGATCATGCTGGATTGGGTTGCCTGAAGGTCAAATTACATTTGTCCTCAAGCTGCGAACATGCTCTAGAGTCATAAGTTATCAAAAGATCTGAGGATTCAGTGATGCTGCAGTACAGATTGCTTCTAAAAAAGCATCATGTCTCACAGGGAGATACTGGGATAGTAGTGCTGGTTGAAAAGTTTGGCTTGTTCATAAGGGACTAAATAGGATTTGATTAGAAAACATTAGGTCAGGATTTCTCGTATTGTCAGCGGCATCACTACTGAGGATACTTAGCTTGAGAATTTTAACCTCCTGCTTGTGCTCTGAAGGTGCTGTATGAATCAGAATGTCGGTTGAATGAAGGCTGAAGAAGTATAACAGCTAATTTAGGAAGTGCTTTGTAATTGTATTTTTAAAAGATTGAAAAAAATAAATCTTTAAGTTGCATTTTAGAATCAGAACAGCCCGGTTTGCAGGGGACCTCAAAGATCATCTGTACATCATGGTACAGCCTTTCATGGGAAGGGGAACCTAGCATCCTGATGATTTTGCACCCTGTCCCATCACATCTTGAAAACCTCCAGCCACAGGGACTCCACCACATGGGGAGGTTGTTTTGTCGACTGATTATTCTCCCAGTGCAACTTTTACCCATTGCCCTTTTCTTTTTCGTGTGTCTCCTTGTGAAGGGAGAGCCTTCATCCTCTTTGCAGCTGCCCTGTAATACTAGGGTAGTGTGATGTGATTCCCTCTGTGAGACCTGTCTTCCAGAAAGAAGAGACCTAGATCCTTCAGTCTTCTCTGATAGAGCTGGTTCTCCAGCCCTTTGATCATCATCTCCTTTTTTACCTTGTCTAGTCTGTCCACATCTTTCTTGAACTGAGATCAGAAGCGGAGAGTACTCCAGGTATGGCATGAAAAGCACATCTCTGTCTCTGTAGTAATGCCCATACAGATGCAGCCCAGGATCCCATTTGCCTTCATAGCTGCAGAGATACACTCCTGACTCATATTCAGCTTGCTGTCTGCCAGGACCCCCAGGTCCCTTTCACCAAGGCTGTTTCCCAGTCACACAGATCCCAGACTGTACCGAGTTCTTCGGTTATTTCATTCCAGGTTCAGGACTTTGCCCTTGCCTTGAACTTCATACAGTTCTTGCTTGCCAGCTCTTCCAGCCTGTCCAGGTCTTTCTAAGATGGCTCTCCTTTCTGAAGTGTCCAACTCACCCACCATCACCAAACCTGGTGAGGGTGCTTTCCACCCCATCATCCAAATCCCATATGAAAATGCTGAACAGCATCGATCCCTGGGTGACCCCACTTGTGACAGGCTGCCAGCTGGAGGAAAAATCATTGATGGTCACCCTCTGAGTGCAGCCTGTGAGCCAGTTCCCTGCGCATCTTGCATACCACCCATCCAGTCTGTGTCTTGCTAGTTTGTCCAGGAGAAGGCTGTGGGAGCCAGCATCTAATGCTTTGCTAAAGCTCAGCTAAACAACATCCAGTGCCCTCCCCATGTGGGCAGAAAGTGATGTCGTCTTGTACCAAGCTCAGGTAGCTGATTGTCTTGTGTTTGTTATGGTGATGAAAGACCTCAGAGCTTCTCTTCCCCTTTCCTGGGGAAAGCTTGACTGGAAGTAATCTTGGTTTAGGCTGATTTCCCCCATGTAGTATATTAGATACTTTGCCTCTGGGATACATTTTGAGAATGCTATTGAGTCTGCTGCAAGTACTCCACCTAATGCGAATGTAGCAGATGTGTTTATGGAGAAGGCAGGAAGGATCATTTTCTGTGCTTACATCGAGACCTTCTTTAGCGTATTCCAGTCTGGTGAACTTGGGAATATGAAAGGACTCTCCTCAAAGGGCAAGCCAGGTCTGACTTCAGTGGGTGCCTGGTGACTGATAGTGGGGGAGTGGAGGGGAACAGCTTGTGACTCATGGTGGGGAGAGCAGGCAGCTTCCTGCAGGGGTGTCCGTGGTGGGTTGTGTCAGCAAGCGCGTGCTGAACAGCCTGCCTGTTGTTCAGGAGGGTGCTCTGCAGCTGTTCTTGGAGGACCAGGAGTCAGGAGCTAAACAACTCCGTCCCTCAGTTCTTCATCCCAGGTGTCTCATGTTTCTTAGGAGGAAACTGTTTATCTGTGCCCTTGATTCCTTTTCTTGGGCTCTGAAGATCAATCTGCCATCTTGAGCAAATTCCTTCAGATTGTTTTTTCTCTCATGTTTGGCATAGGTCACCCCCCACTTTACGTTGCCAGGGAGTTTGTTTTAAATCTGGTAACTCTGAGACACGGCAAAATGAAAACACTGTGACTAAAATAGCTGTGAGTGAAACTCCCTCCAGAGCCTTAACTCAAAGCTAAAAAAAAAATAAAAATAGTCATTTGTACATTGATTCTTGGGAGGAGGTAAAGCCTAAACCTCTGCCAAAGACAGCAAACCTGAAGCAGAGAGAGATGCTCCCTCACAGTCCCTCTGCTTGGCATCATCTTTGTCCCTCTGCCCAGAAAGAGGAATCTCTACAGGGTGGTTTTCGACATCCAGCATTGAGTGATAAACCATATGGTTGGCTTTTCTGAGAGAGGAAATACTTTAGACAATGATTCTTTACCTCTTTTAGGCTTCTCAGAGTTTGCTTAAAAATAGTCATTGATACAACTTTTCAGTATAGCAAAAGGGCTCCAGTTTAACTTCTCCTCTTAGGACATCCCCTATACCCTTTTCTGCCTAGGCTTTCAAACTTAACACAGTAGTAGCAATAGTAATAATATGATCATCATCAATATTCTTACCCAGATCTCAAATCTGAGGTAACCTAATGTTTTCCTTGTTTGGCTAGAAAATGCTATTGGAGACTGAAGGAAAGGAAGAGGTCCTCTCATCCAGTCAAAAGTTTGTTTTGACATGCCTGTGGATCTCCATTATGAACATACTGCATTGAGGCAGTGGGGTGCTTGCACAATTGTTACATATTTTTGCCTTGTGATTTGTGACTTTAAATCTGAATGTCATTTCAATGGTAAATGGCATTCTGACACCCAGCTCGGTGATTTCATGTGAGACCAGTGGTGTTAGTACTAAACATCTTACTGTAAAGACTCACTGTCAGTAATAGTGGACTTGGGCAAGCCCCTTGCATGCTTAAATCCAGCTTGCTCAGCCTCTATGTAGCTGGCTGGTGGGGTGAGCTACACTCACAGCTTGTGTCCTGAGCTCCCTCACAGCTTGTGTACACATTTGAGGGTTGTAATTGTTGTTAGCCTTCCTGTTAAGGCACTTGATGTTCCTTGTTCCTTGTCTCTGGAATTGAGTTTCATTTCTCCCAGCAAACTCTGCAGTGAAATGATTGTGATCTCTTGGGGGAAGGGAGGGGAATTGTTCTGTTAAATGTTGAAAGGCTTTATCCCTTGAACAATATAAAGGCTTGGACTAAAAATGACAGACCCTCTCAGATGCAGATGCATCACATCCTTTCATTTAAGTCACTGGTAATAAAGTACTCTGTTAATTGCTGCAGTACTTGCTCATCCTGCTTTTCCCCCACAGCTGCCCTTCTGCCAGCAGCCTGCTGTGAAAATCACCCTTTGTCTTAGTAGAGCATTAATTAGCGATGGTGTTCAGATCAACACCGTGAAGGGAAAGTGATGTTTATCCCGAATTCAAGACCTTTTTTTATAGCACTGACTTATGCTCTATTGGCAGTGGGTTTGAGTCTGTGGTATCAGCAGTACATACAGCACAGCAGAGCTGCAGTGGCCCAGGCTATGTTTTGGTTTATGAGCATGTTGATGATTGTGGTTGACACAACAGATCATCTTGTGGATTTTTTTGGTAAAAAGAAATGCCTTTGTGCAGTTGGGACGGAGCATGGGGCTCATCTGGAATTTAAAACTCTTTTTGTCAGCATAATGGCATCTGCACAAAGCTTTTAATGATGTAAATGCCGTTCAGCAATGTGTATCTTACAGGGCTTCAGGATGATGCTTTGGCTTCTGGCATTTTCCATGCTATAATCTTTCTGTGCTACTTACAGTGGTGAACGCATTTATCTAAAAGATGTGTGTCTGATTGTATACTGAAATAAAACTTTTGTTGTTCCCTGTCTCTCATTCTAGATGAAGCTGCCAGTGTTATTCAGTTTGGGAAATCAGCCAAGCGATCACCCGAGTCAACTCAAATTGGGCAGTATGGGAACGGCTTGAAATCGTAGGTATAACAAAAGCCAGCCTCCTGATACGAAGCTCAGGGCTGAGGTAGTAAATGTATTGTTTGCTTGCTATCTTTTTTTTTCTTTTTTATTCCCAGAAAAAAGAAGGCAGATGAAATCTAAATCCTGGTACTGTGGTTTGGGGGACAGGAGCTCTGACATCTACTGTAATTTTTCAGTGGCTGAGAAGTCTGTCAAGAGTTGATGACGGTGTTTTGCCATTATGTTTGTATGATGCAGAGGATACAGATCAGAGCTGGTGGAAAAAAAATGGTAGAGCAGGAAACAAAACCTTAGTATGCCTGTGGGAGACAGTAAAATGGGAACAAAATAGTCCTCTCACTAAGAAGGTTGTGGGCTGCTGTCAGATGGACTTCAACCTTTTCTTTTTTATCCTAAATCAAACAAATGCATAGAGAAGGAGAATAATGGAAGGAATGAGAGGAGGAGTGGGATTAGGTGGCAGCTGAACAAAGGTGGGGAGGAAATCTCATTAGCTGGAGGGGATTTGCTAGGAAAGAGAAGTGTTTCTGTGGTAAACTGAAGTCTTTGGGAAAGCTAGAGGGCTTTCATGGCTTACTCTGGCTGTTCCGCTTTATACTGTTCTGTGCGGCTTGATTTTTTTTTTATATGTATCCTCCTGGGGAAATCTGTGGGACCCTATAGCATGGGAGGAAAGAAGAAAAGGGGATGTAAGGGACTTTGATATCCCATTGATACAGCTGCAGTGTGGGACACATCCCAGATCCTGGCTGGGCACTTCCAGGACAGATCTCTGTCCTCTTCTTAACCTTGGGCAAGAGTCATACTATATTACAGGTGAGAAATGCAGACTGAAGCCTAAACATGCAAAAGGTGTGCTTTGGTATCACATCAGGCCAATCTGAAGAGAATTGAACTGACAGAACACTAATCCTTTTTTTGATGCAATGCTACGTTTCTTTGTTAAGGTTTTTTTTGACAAGTTAGGGTAAAATAGAGAAGATGGGGAAGGCACTGTTGGGGATAGCAGAGTGGGGAGGAAGATGGGACTGTGTCTTTTGTGACAGCTAGCTGCTAAGTTGCACTGTCTGAAGTGTCAGTGAGTCTTTTAAGTTAGACATAGGAAAAAATTGTCTCCCAGAAACTTGTTTGCTGCTGTTCATTCTGTGTGAAGTGAAATGAAGTGTGTCTTTGCTTTCTCACACTTCTGCTTGTCTATTTGCAGGATATTGTCACATCTCACGTTAGTCATCTTAGATTTTTTAAAAAAAGGTATTTTTTTTTTTTTTAAACTTGCTATCTAGGATGAGCCTGGGCATGCTGCGCATCTGCACTTCTTATTGTGACTCGTGTTAAGGGATTTGAAGCCTTATGAGAATGATCAGATTAAGATGCCTTTTGAAAGGAGAGATATTTAGAGAGAAGTGGTAGCTGCTGTTTAAGCCCTTCTTTTGCCTTACCTGGTTTTGGCATCTTGAACATAATAGGAAGAAAGTTCAGCAATGTGGTCTGCTTTCTAGAAAATGTTATGCATCAGGTGTAATATGCTGCCTGAAATCTGTCTGCAGGGGTTCCATGCGGATTGGGAAGGATTTTATCCTGTTCACAAGGAAAGACAACACCATGACTTGCCTTCTCTTGTCACGAACATTCCATGAGGAAGAAGGCATCGATGAGGTTTGCATGTACTTTGCTATAATGAACTAATGTGGTGAATGCTGTCTCAGCAGAACCTCTCCAGCTCCCAGAGGAGAAGTGTCTGTATCAGTGTTGGCTGCCACTGGTTGGACCAGTGGTATGGTTTTCTCTTGGTGATAAACTTGTAGGGGTTCTGCAAAGTCCTCAAAGGATTTTTCCTTTAGGTTTTAATTCTGAGAGTTCTCTAAACTCCAGCAAGTTTGAAGGGCTTGTTTTAATCACTTAGTGTTGCTTATGCTGAGTTCAGGACATGCCTAGACTTCTTGCATTTTCCTTTTTCCACAAAATTTGAGTATGGGATGTATTTAAATTTGTTGCTCTGATCCGATTTTCTGTAGAAAATTAAAGGTGTGCTTGAATGAGTCCTACCCACAGGACACAAACTCCAGACATGTCTTTTCTTTTGGATTTTTTTTAAACAAAAAATCAGTGTGGTTCTACCTGTTGAAAACTTGCGTATCTTAATATATAATTCAGGCATTGTTGTTCTGTATCCAGACTCTTTAACATGGAACTATTTTTGTGCTCAAACACAAGTGTTTTCCACGCAAGACTGATAATGAAAGGTTGTAAATTTGCACCGGGGTAGTATCTAAGAAAGTATTTTCCATTGTGATCATGGAGGGAGCTCTATAAAGAAGCTTTTGAGGGAGCAGTGCTTGTTAGTGGCCAGCTGATGGCTGAAGCAAGTTGGGAACAGTGATGTAGTTGTCACTGCGGCTCTGGAATCAGAAATTTGTGCTTGACCTCAGTTCTAAAGTGAGATCAGGATTCACTGTCCTTGATAGGCGGACCCAGGCTGTAATTCCATCTGTGGTTTTGTTCTGAGCAACAGAAAACACCAGTAGCCTTAGCTATAAATATAATAAAGAGTGAGATCTGGATGAATATGAGTGAAGGATATTTGAGTTCAAGAGAGAAGTACAGAAATTGAAATTTTTAAAAAAGCAAAATTTGGTTGTTTTTTTTTTTATGGTAGTATTATGAAAGTCATTGCAAGAGGAGGGGAAAAAACCCATTGAGTGTGTGAGTAGCCAGTACCATAGAGGTTACTTGGAAATAGCTCAGTCTAAGACTAGATGTTGTAGGACGACAACTCAGAGGCTGGTAAAGAGAGGTCCTTGGGCATTTGTCAGAAGGGGCAAGTCACTCGGTCATGTTCTGCAGACCAGAGTGGGTGAGCTATGCTCTTGATACAGTGCAATTTGCAGGTCATTGTTCCCCTGCCCACCTGGAATGCACGAAGCCGGGAGCCTGTGACTGACAACATGGAGAAGTTTGCTATTGAGACAGAGCTAATTTACAAGTATTCCCCTTTCAAGTCAGAACAGGAAGTGATGGAGCAGTTTAATAAGATATGTGGTGAGAAAGGTATGTATGGACAGTGCTGGTCACAGGCAGGGTATTTGGGGTTTGGCTGGAATTCATCTTATCAACTTGTTACTTGCTCAGGGACCCTGGTGATAATCTTTAACCTCAAACTAATGGATAATGGAGAGCCAGAGCTGGATGTGACTTCTGACCCCCGAGACATTCAGATGGCAGAAACATCTCCAGAGGGAACGTAAGTGTGATGTTACAAGCATTTGGGCTCTGATCATTTTATGTGTAGGGTTTAGCTATATACTGTGTGCATGTGCTTTTTAAAAGCTGCTCTTTCTGTGGTGAATTGGAGAGTTTAAAAGATCTTTAGTTTGTTCTTAGCGTTTTGGAGTTTATGTGGGTAAACATCCTGGAGGTGTTATGTTTGTGTGCTTGCGTGAATGCCTACTTTGTCTTGTCTCAGTTTAGTCAAAGCAGCAAACTCAGCGCTCTTCTTTAGGCACCTTAAAACAAAGGAGCCCTAAGCTATAGGTTTAATCTTCTATGCTCATCAAAGATGTTTTCATCAGAATGACAGCTGGTTGTGAGTCTGTGCTGCTTTCAAACTCATGTTCAGTTGTGTGATTAAATGAACCCTGGCAAGATGTGAACACCACATAGGTCAGCCTGTATGAGTGAATGGTAAAAGGGTAGTACTGACGGGGTGTATCAGCACATCATCCTGGGAGCACGAGCAGCTCCTGGATTTCCTGCAGAGGAGAAAGGAGGATGTGCTCAGAGGACAGTTGGAAGAGCATAGAGGGTTGTTTAGGGAAAGCTGCCTGAAAAGGAAAACATGAGCTCAGCTGAGACAAATGCTTGATTAAATCCCAGAGCTCCGTGGGCACACCTAGTGAGTTTTACCTGTATAATGAGATTACACACTGCTTCCCTGAAGTGCTTGAATTTCTCATAGAAATACAATTTCAAACACTGTAAACCTAGCTAATTCTGTATGCATCAGTTTGATGTTACTGAGTGCTCAGGTGCAGCAAACTCCTTGGCAATCTGATGTGATTCTCAGTTTCTTTAATGTGTGCTCGTGAGCTTTCATGATTAGCACTGATCACTGGAAGGAGCTTCTTCTCTCTGACCTTGTGATAGCATTTATGTGTGTGATCAGTGCAGTTCCTGTCAGAACATACACTCCTGAGTAACCGAAGGGTAAGAGAACATGCTAGCAAGTGGGGCACACGCTTAGTGTTCAGTGGGCCAGTTTATAGGTTTGACCCGTATTATCCAGCTGTATTCAAAACATCCTTTTCAAGCTACAGTGATACGTTCATCAGTGTTTTGTAACAGTATTTAAAATGTACAGCTCAATAGAAACTCTCTGTAGAAGACATGGGTAAAACAATATTAAAAGAAAAGCCTCACTTAACGCTGCTGCCCGGTAATTAAAATAGAAGGGCCTTGTCTTGTGCCTGGCTTTCTTGCTGAAGATTGTCCCTTTGGCATGTTTTGAAGGAGAAGGCTATGAGCTGAGATGCATGGGGTGTGAATCCTGCTTCAGGTGCTTAAAGTACATTGGGGTAATGCAGAGCAGCGTGGGCACTTGGCTACTGGGTAGAATTTTGTTGTAAAATAAGAATCTTACAAGTTTTGTCATGGAAAAACTTGTTCATTTGGTTTGGATAGAGGACAAGTCTCTGTGACAGTAGTATGTGACATGGCTCTTAAATGGTTGGGAATGAAGGGGAAAAACTGTGAAGGAAAGAGGAGGTGGAAGGCAGACTGAAAGAGACTCCAGGATGAGCACTCTGACTAAAGAGACACTGATTACTCGGGGCTGAACTGATACAGGCATCTTTGAGCTACATGGGCCAGACTGGGATAGTGTCTGCTGGTGGTTCTACCAGGAAATGCTGAACAAACTGCTCAGTTTCTGTAAGCATCCATCCCTCTCTTGCAGAAAGCCCGAGCGCCGCTCCTTTCGTGCCTATGCTGCTGTGCTTTATATTGATCCCAGAATGAGAATCTTCATAAATGGACACAAAGTACAAACAAAACGACTTTCATGCTGCCTGTATAAGCCCAGGTGAGTATTGGACCCAACATCTGCAGATGTGTAGGACTTCTTGGAGATTATTTATGGAAAGGGTTTAACATTTTGCTTTCCAGGTGTATCCTGCATAATTCCATGTTAAAGCTACAGAAACAGATCATATGGAAAAGGAGGTAGATAGTGGAAAATTTAATAACTTGAGTAATTTGTGCAATTTGGCTCCCTTTCAGAGCAAACCAAGAAATGAAGATAGTTTTTGTTCAAAATTACATATCCATATGTAATTTGGATATGTATCGGTTAGGTAGCTGTTTTTAAGGAAATAAATATGGTGTCTGTTAGAATTATTACTGAAAAGAAGGGAGGCTAAGCACTTTGAAACAGTTGCTTTGAAAATTAACTTACATATGTAGCTGGTAAAGGTTTGCATAGAGATTAGGAAATACTATTCCCTGTCTTCCTTTTAAGTTCCCTTATACAAAAAAGTTGAAAGCAAGAGAGGTGTGCTGCCAGTTGTCTTAACAGGGACTTGAAAAGGATATAAGGATGGGAGGGGGAAGAAAATCATGTATTTAAGTCTCCTTGAGGCAGTAGTGTTCTTCTGTCCCTGGGAGCACACAGGCTGTATTCCAAATACTATAACATGATTTGTCTTAATAAGTTAGTAATAATTTTATACAGTATTTGTGGATAGCTTTTCTGACAGCAGAAATATCAATTGTTTCAGTAGTATGGCGCACTGTCAACTTGTGTACTCATACTAACCACAGTCTTTTGTCATGATGGTTGCCTGGAGAGCCTGGCCCATTTTCAACTTACAGCCATGGCCTGCTTGTCAGGCTTGTACTTCCTCAGCTTTTTAAGTGACAATGTGTGAAATTATATTAGAAACTCGTGGATGAACAATGCCCCGCGGTTACACTTACTAGGATCAATGCTGGTGCAGGTTTATCTAACAAATCTACTTGTGCCACATCTGTGCAAACTCCTTGTAGATCTGCTTATGGTGGTAGGGCAATAAAAATTCCCAGCACTGTAAAGGCATTTACATTTAAAATCCCTACTCCTGCAGCAGAATAGAAAAGGCTACAAAGAAGGCCTCCCTGTAGAGCACAGTGTATGTCTTTTTGGTCTTGTGGCAATTATTGTAGCCTTGTTTTTCCATAAAAAGTTATTTGGGATGGGATTTGCCTCTTGAAACATCCAGAACTTTGTGTCTTAAGGCAGTTTCAGTTCCTGCAGACTCTGATCATCCTTCTTGGTGTCATCTCCTCTTCCCCAATTATGTGTCTCTGCACAGAGGTGATGCATACTCACAAGCTTCTGCCTCTTAAGCACACTTGCCTTTCACTCTACAGTAGTCAGTCTGTGATCTGCATTTGGCACATTATGGGAAGGTAGAACAAGCCACTGTGTCTCAAGCATGGTTTACAAGGCTGGGAGTCGGATGTGTAGTACACACAAATGTCGTGAAACCTTAGAACTGGAACTTGAAGATCCATTCAGAGTTGCTTTGCCACTTAGGGTCTTTGAGCTACACTGTGTGATGGGCACTGTCAGACTACATCTGTGACTGGCTATTTGCAGGAGAAAGGGTTGCTTATCTATAATGTGAGGTTTTTGAGAAGCTTACCATATATATTTACTCTTCCCTTCCTCTTCCAAACAAGCTATTCCTCGAAACATTGGGATTTCCCCTGAGAATATGGGCGTATTTCACTTCCAATGGTTAATGCAGAAAAGGGGATTGTGTTTGCAGCTGCTGTTAAAGCATCACTGATTTCAGAAGTTTTTGCCTAATTGCATCGAAAACCACTCAGTTCCTGATGTGTAAATCTCCTTCTCTATTGAATCTATTGAGAAGAGTAGAATAGCATGTGGAGACTTCATTCTTTCATACAGTGATGAAATCTTGGTTTGACCTTACTGCTGAGTTTGCTGATTCATAAACTTCAATCATGACAGGATGTACAAATATACTTCAAACCGTTTCAAGACTCGTGCAGAGCAAGAGGTGAAGAAAGCAGAGCACATGGCGAAGATAGGTGAGTTTTGGGGGTATGCATGCATCCTGACTGTGCTGTAGCAACAGCCAGGAAGATAGTGCCGTGCTGGATATGACCTGCAATTGCTTGCTTCTGTGATCATTATGGTTGCTCAGGAGATTAGTTACTACGGTGACTGTCAATGACCCAGACATATTCCATGTAATGAAAGGAATGTACATTGATCCCTAAGATGATTTCCTCTGGGAAATGCTTGTATAGATTGGAGTCACAGCCGTCTGCCCTTGCTCCATCTGAAGTCTGGCTATTACATCTGAAGTGCTGCCCTATTACCCTGCAATTCTGCTCTCACCTTTTGTGTATCATTAGCTTTTGGTTCCATTTTCCTTCTGCTCTTTCCTAGTTGAGGCAGCTGTTCAAAAAGTAAGACTTTTATTCTGTCACTTCATATAAAGTGATTGGTCTGGGTGTACAAGGTTGAAAATGAACATGAGCCACTTCAGTGTGCGCTCACAGCACAAAAGCCAAATGTGTGCTGGGCTGCATCAAAAGCATGAGCAGCAGGTTGAAGGAGGTGATCCTGCCCCTCTACTCTGCTCTTGTAAGACTCCACGTGCAGCACTGTGTGCAGTTCTGGGGTCCTCAACATAAGAAGATATGGAGCTGCTGGAGCAAGTCCAGAGGAGGCCATGAGGATGATCAGGGGCTGGAGCACCTCCCAAATGAAGGCAGGCTGAGAAAGTTGGGGCTCTTCAACCTGTAGAAGAGAAGGCTGCGTGGAGGCTGTCACCAGTCACCCCCTTACTGTCCATGAGCCTTAGCACAGGAGTTTCTGCTCCATGATCTTGCCATGCAGCAAGGTGAGACCACCTGCCTGTAGTTGCTCACGTTTTCCTTTTTTTCCTTTTTAAAAAAGGGTGCTACTTGCCAGTCCACGTTTACCCCTGTGGACCTCATAGCCTGTAGGATGGAGGAAGATCACTCTCAACTAGTTGTACAGCTTTGAGCAAAACAAGCTTCTGACCTAAAAGGGCACAATGTGCTTTTGATGCAGAGCATGCAGATGCAAGGTACATGGTGCTGATATACCAAAGCACCTGGTGGCTCAATTTTAGAAAGGGATCTCCTCACTCAAAATGAAATCTGTTGAATGAATCTTGCAATACCAGGGTGAAATGTACCTATTGCCAGGAAGTCTGGGGGAGAAGTGGACAGGGGAGTTTATTCTAAATGGTAAACTTCGTGCAAACGTCAGGTGGAGTGGCAGGTTTTCAGAGAACTCTGTGTCCTATTTTCTCTGTAGCTCAGATTTGTCTTTTTCCAGGCAAAATTTAGCAATTATCAAAGCTAAAAGCATTTTTACTGCTAGTGCTCTCCCTTCATGCCTGCAAGATTACATCTTAGTAGCTCCTTTTCAAGCCTGAACTCAGTCTTCATTCTGTGACAGCCTTTTCTCTGCCTACATGCTTCCAAGCAGAGCAGACGGGGCCACGTGCATCCTTATTCTTTCCAAGTCCTCAATAATTCCTTCATGGATCCTTCCTTTAAACAGCTTTTGCAGAATTTAGCCTTGCAATTTTGCTGGTGTTGACTGTGATATCCGAGCAAGTTATAAGATGTCAGTGGTGCCCTCTCATAGGTTTTATTTTGTACCCTTTTGTGTTACCCCTGTACCCTTGTACATGTCAATCCAGCAAAGGCTCTCTGGAAGTCTGACCTCTCAGGTGGATGTCTTAGTATATGCTGCATGTACTGAATGGTTGACATCATCCTTTTCCTTGTGTGTTCCAGCGGAGGAGAAGGCTCGTGAGGCAGAAAGTAAAGCCCGTGCTCTTGAGCTGCGCCTAGGTGGGGACCTCACGCGGGAGTCCAGGGTAAGCCCTGTGCTTTGGCAGCGTGTGACGTTTCAGGCACTGGGGACTGGCTCAGAGAGCAGCACTGGCGGGTCAGCACCCAGTGGTAGCACCCGGTGTGTAGGTGATACAGGTAGTGACTTCAGTTGGTGAGTTGCTTGCAGCATTTGGGCAGCTCTGTGGGGTCATCACCAGTGGACGTGCTTCAACACCTGTACATGGTTTCCAGCCCAGGTGGCAAATATGCTGATGTTCTTCAATATATCCTGCGAGGGAAGGAAGCCTGCAGCCCCCAGGCACCTTGTTTGATGTCACCCTCTGCAGAAGAGGCCAGGGGAATGTAAGGTGTTTGAACAGAAGTAAAACTGGGTGCTTTTTGGCTATGCCCCTTCGTTGCCTGTGTAACTGGCTCCAAAGATTTTGGAGAGGGGCTGTTTGCTTCCTCCTCGTGGTCTATGGCTCTTGGCAGGGGCAAGGCTGAGACCCAGACCACCTCTGGGTGGGAGGAGAGCACGCAGCAGGTGTGCCTAGTGCTTCCCCAGGTATCACCAGCTTGAAATCACTGTACTTGCTATAGGCATCCAATGGAAATAGGAGTATCCAAGTACCCTGGCTGTTTCCCTGTGCCTCCGTTACCCTCTGGTTTCAGTTAGCTTAGATGTTTAGCTGCATTTTGACATTCTCTTCCAAACAGCTCTGTAGCTGCTTAAATGAGCTAGCACCAAGCACTGCACTAAATATAAAGACATGCTGATTGTTACTCTCCACTGTCAGTGAATTCTTTAAAACATTTCAAGATCTTCTTGAAGAGGACAAAAAAAATCATAAAATGAGCGAATGATGAATTTGACAGCAGCAGTTTTTCTGTACCATGCATGTTTGCAGGTGATGCTACGCCAAGTTCAAAACTCAGCAATAACCATGCGCCGGGAGGCTGATGTCAAGAAGAGGATCAAGGATGCAAAGCAGCGGTGAGTACAGGGTGGTTCAGAACTCTGCATTTCCCAGGCTGTTCACATCTCTCGTGCTGTGCTTGGGTGGTAGAGGGAGCAGTTCAGCTCCGAGCTTAAATGTTTGTGGGCATCCTGTATGCTCTGGCTGTTAAACCAAGGGGACTGAGTTTGCTCTTCTGGTTGCTTCTGCTGTTCCCCTCTTGCTGAAAGATGTTTTTTATTTGGCTTGTTTTCTGTAGATGTTTATATGGTTTTCACATCAGCTGTTTTCATTTTTTTGCTTTTTCATCTGCAGGTAAGATTCAGGGAGGCAATGAAATGTTACAGTGAAATGGCTTTTAGAATTGTAGGGATGTTTTCTAAAAACTTTCTAAGCTCTGTTACAGTCAGTGCTGTGAAATCCCAAGGCATTGTTCTCACTTAGCTCTGGTTGCAGTTGACTTTGCTGTTGATGTACTCACAAGAATATTCCACTTTTTTTCTAAGTTTGTTTTTTTTTTTTACATAGCTGTCTTATGCATTTCATAAATGAAGTTGTAACCAGATAAAAATGCTCTTCAAACAAATGCTGAGTGTGAGAAAGTTTGGGATTTGTATATGCCAAGTTTTTGTTCCCACCTGGTTGTTTTGCATGCTGGTTTTCATGGCTGCTTAGGTCAGAGCTATCCTAGACTTGTTGCCAGTGATAGATCTATCACATCTAGCCCAAATTCTATGTTGTCAGTGTTCACAATAGCCCTTGGCAAATGCTTACTGTTAAAATTACTGAAATCTGCTATTCCATGTGTTTTTCTAGTAACTTATTTTAAAGGAAGGTGTATTACAGGGTACTTATACATCTGTGTGGGCAAAAAGATGGGTTTAAACAGAAAATGAATATGAAATGAATCTGTTTCAGGGATTTATTTTGAAATGCTTGACCATTAAGATAGACTTACATCTTCTATCTGCAGAACATTATTGTGCAGTGCTCATGCATGCACAGCTCAGGTTCTTTTAATACTTGATATTAGTAGACAGTCAACAGATCAGTTTAAAGGATTCCACTATTTCAACTGATCCCTTAAGCAAAAGTAAAATTCCTAACTGGGATAAAGCACATAAGTGCTAAGAATTTGGTTAGATGGTGGGGATTTGGAAGTAAGGCAGGTCAGAGGTGAGATGGATGGGTAGGACAGTGGTATAGCCTTGCAGTAATTAAAAGTTTGAACCTCACATTTGATGGTACCTTCATTCTGAAATGGAGGATCCTTATCATGAAAAATCCTAAGCATGGATTTCATGGAAGCTGTGGAACCTACTTAATTTTATTTGTTAAAGAGCAATAGTTCTGTTTGTGAGACCTGGGGATTTTGTTTTATTTGTAACACAAAGAGGTCTTGAGGCTCTCTGCATTGCAGGAGACACAGTTCAGACAGGAGATCCAGGTTCAGAAATCCGTATCTCCTCACAAACATTTGAGGCCAACTTTTATTGATGTCACCTGCTGCACAGACAGAAGAAATCATGCAAATTCCTATCCTGTCATTTGTAGGAAAAAAAAAGCTCTGCTTGGTCTGTCTCTTATATCTTCCAGCTTTCGAACTTAGAGTGATGGCATTGGAAAATTTGTGATTACAAGAACTTTCCCAGAATCTGAGTATCAAAATCTTAATTTCCATGCTTTATCTAGCATAGGGATGTACATCTGGAAAATATAAACAAAATCTCATTGGAGAGGACAGTCTGTACCTACCAGTACTACACAGTACTAAAGCTACTGTGTAACTCTTAATTTTTTTGAACAAGCAGATCTGAAATAAAAATCAGAATCCATTTTAGAAGGAGAAACCATATCCAAATAAATAAATAATCTGAGAAGATACTGTCCAGCCTAAGTTGGTGTCTGTATTGCAAAGGTTTTGTATTTTGTTTATTCACATTCAGTAAGTACTTGGTGTTTTTAGCAGTAGCAGACTACAGGATGGGTGTTGGTAAACCCCTGCTGCTTAGAGGTGCTAGATCACTTCTAATGACAGCAAAGAACTAGTTTTAGTTTCAACATTCCTGAGGCTTTTTTTTATTCTCTCTTAGGGCACTGAAGGAACCCAAAGAGCTGAATTTTGTCTTTGGTGTGAATATCGAGCAGCGTGAGTTGGATGGCATGTTCATTTATAACTGCAGTCGCCTGATAAAGATGTATGAGAAGGTGGGCCCGCAGCTGGATGGTGGCATGTGAGTTCCTGGAGATTATTAGGCAATCCTTTTGCTTAAGCCTTGTGAGTTCCTACGTATAATTCAGGCCGTGCAATAACCTTGTTCTGCATTAATTGTTCTTCATGAGTGTGAGGCTTACCCATTGTGTCAGCATTTAGTTTGGATGCTGGCAAATAAGTTACAGTTAATGTTGCCCGGTATTTCTCTGGTTTCTTGATAGAGTTGTCTACACAGATTTTGGTCAGACCTAAAGTGTCAGGCATTTATGCTCAGTGCCAGCCTTTGGGGCTGATAAATACTGGTAGCAATATCACCTCATTCTAGGGACAGGGAGAACAGGCCTTGAAAGCAAATACAGATATTTGAGCCCACATTTTTGTATGCTGGCTCCAATCTGACTTAGAAAGCTGATAAATTAAAGCCAGTACCCCTGCAGGAAGGGGTGGGTGGGTATGTGTATAACCTGCTGTTTTCAACACTGATAATCTGATAATTGATCTGATAATTGAATGATGTTAGTGACTGTGTCTTCCTCTTCCAGGGCTTGTGGTGGAGTGGTGGGTGTGGTGGATGTGCCCTATTTGGTTCTGGAGCCAACCCATAATAAACAAGACTTTGCTGATGCCAAAGAGTATCGACACTTGCTGAAGGCCATGGGGGATCATTTGGCTCAGTACTGGAAGGATGTTGCTATAGGTAATGAAGCTTCACAGTTATCAGGGGCTGGAAGGGGAAACTTTGGCTGGAGGGCAGCAAAGGGGGAGAGCAGCCAAGACTGCAGGTGGTGATTTCTGTGGTAATGGCTCCGTACTGAGCGGGAACTTGTTTGTTTTCCAGCCCAGAGAGGTATCATCAAGTTCTGGGATGAATTTGGTTATTTGTCAGCAAACTGGAACCAGCCTCCATCTAGTGAACTGCGCTACAAACGCCGGAGAGCCATGGAGATCCCTACCACAATTCAGTGTGGTACGTCTGGCCAGGCTCTGACTAGGAGGCTGCTCCTGCCTGGTGCATAGGGGAGGGACCTCTGGCTGCTGTTAGGGAGCAGCAACATGGGTAGGAGATTTGGGAAGCAATGTGGGTAGGAGATTTGAGAACTGCTTTGCTATCGTTACCCTCTTCTAGGGCTTCTCTTCTGTGAGTTGCCATTGTCTGCATCTGATGGTCCGCTTAGATGCCTTGGTAGAAGGTTGCTTTCCTGCAGTTTATTAACCATGATGTTCTTCAGGTGCCCTTACAGAATGGGGCAGGTATGGCCAGTAGCAATGTTGAGGATGGGCTTAGAATGTCATATGAGCTGGAACTGGCCAAAGCCACCCACCCCAACACTAGAATAAGATCTGAAACTTCCTGCAGTAGAAAGTGGCCAAGTAATTCGTATGCTGATGCAGAGGCTTGCTAACCGGTACTAGGTGTGAGGACAGAAGGGAGCTGTTTACAGTCGACTTCCAAAATCAGTGCAAGTTCTCTTCTGTGCACCTCTGAACAGATTTGGCTAAGCCCTTACTCTGGTGTAAGGGAGGTTTCAACACAACAACTTTGTCTCTTAGTAGAGGGACACCAAACTCCCTTGACGTCATTTCCCCACAGGATTTTGGTATGAGAATGTAACAAGGAATATGAGGCCAGTCTTGTGGAATTACTTTGTTAGGCACTCCTGCCTTAACAGTTTTCTCAGTCATTTCCAAGTTCCTCCCAAAGAGGAGGGGCTTTCCTGTCATTCTTCTGGTCTTCTGCTCTGGGCATCCTTCCAGAGACTCATTTAAGAATGTTTCCATTTTCTTGGCAAAACTTTTTTCCTAAGCTGTTGATTTCCTGGTAGGTCAGCAAAGCTCTGACAATGCTCTCAGAGCCAAATCTGTCTTCCAGGTTAATCTAAAACTTACTAGATATTGTAAGTATTTGTTGTGGTTTAAGCCCAGCTCTGGTATCTCAGAACCACTCAGCCGCTCGCTCACTCCCTACCTTCTTCCTCCCCCTGCTCCCGGAGGGATGGGGAGGAGAATCAAAAGGATGTAACTCCCACAGGTTGAGATAAGAACAGTCCAGTAACTAAGATATAACACAAACCCACTGCTGCTACCACCAGTAATAATAATGATAAAGGAAGTAACAAAGGGAGAGAATACAGTTACTCAGCACTCGCCGACCGATACCCAGCCCGACCTGAGCAGCGACCTGGGCCTTCCAAGTAACTCCTCCCATTTTCTTATACTGAGCATGATGTGCTGTGGGATGGAACACCCCTTTGGCTAGTTTGGGTTAGGTGTCCTGTCTCTGCTTCTTCCCGGCTTCCCGTGTCCCTCCTCATTGGCAGAGCATGAGAGACTGAAAAGTCCTTGACTGGAGTAAGCATTACTGAGTAACAACTAAAACATCGGTGTGTTATCAGCATTGTTCTCAGTCTAAAGTAAAAAACACAGCTCTGCAACAGCTACTAAGAAGGAATAAAATAACTGCTACAGCTGAACCCAGGACAGTATTTCTTTTAGTGGATAAATCTCTGACTTCTTTTGTGTTGTTAATCAGCAAGAGCCTGACTTCTGAGGTGAGCAGTGATTTCAGGACTGGCTGTTCGGTTTGGTTTGTACATGCTGTCATTGCAGCAGTGAGTTTGAGGTCCTCTAGTATCAGTTGATCCCAGGCTTCATCAGATCCTTGTTATGGATGCCTTGTACAAAATTTGAGGTCTTCCAGCAAGCATTTTGTGAGCATGAAGCAAGAACTGGTGTGCTTTTCTCTTTTTTTTTTTTTTTTTTTTTTGGGGCCACTACTCTGACAGTCACTGAATACATGGTAATTGGGGTGGTGCCTGGGCATCAAATAGGGTTGAGAAGCGCTACAGAAAAAAATGACTTTGTGGCTCAGGATGTGTATTTCTAACTTGCAAAGTGTTTGTCTAACAGATGTGTGTCTGAAATGGCGAACACTCCCCTTCCAGCTGAGTTCAGTGGAGAAGAATTACCCTGATAGCTGGGTCTGCTCCATGAACCCTGATCCTGAACAAGACAGGTAAGAATCAGTTAATGTAAAGACTTTCCTCCAGTGTGCTTTATCTGCATGTGTTTATTTTTTAACAACTGTGCTTTTGATCCTTAAATTGTACATGTGTTTCCCAAGAAGAAAACTACTGGTTTTGAGATTGTGTGTCCTGCAGAAAGGAAGACAGTTTTACTGCTGCCTTTGGGATGGGTTGTGGGGACAATCAATCCTGTATGAGTGAGACAGCACAGGTTACTGTCATTACTGAGATTGTCTTGCATTCCTGTCCTGCTAGATGTGAAGCTGCAGAGCAGAAGCAGAAGGTACCATTGGGAACTCTGAAGAAAGACCTGAAATCACCAGAAGAGAAGCAGAAACAACTGGCTGAGAAAATCCGACAGGAGCAGGAAAAGCTGGAAGCTCTGCAGGTGAATCTGGACATCTCCAGCTAAGCACGGCATGTTTGAGGGGCCTCCTAGTGCAAATCACTAGACAATCACCTCTGTCTCAGCCTCTAATGCCACCTGTGCTCCTTACTGTGGCAGGGGTGGTTTTAATAACAGAAAATAAGCATCTCAGTTTGCTAGGGAAATGGGAGGGACTGCTGGTGTTTGGATGAAGCGATGTCTCTTGAAGGACACAGAACACACCTTCTAACAGTTGTTGATTTGAAGCTGAAGAAGTGTTTGCAGGGCTGGGCTAAGGCAAGCCCTGACAGCCTTCAAAGATGGGCCTTTCTGAGTTTTGGTGTTTTTTTTATAGAAAACCACTCCAATTCGATCTCAAGCTGACTTAAAGAAACTGCCTCTAGATGTGACCACACGGCCTGCAGGGGAGGTAAGTGCCATACCACTGTAGGATTTGTACTATCCTTAGCTATCCGTATTTTCTTATATCCTTATTTGTGCTGTCCTTAACTGCTTTGAAAAGCACTGACAGACTCTTGGTGTCTTTCTCTCTCTGTACCCTCATTTGTTTCAGAACACCCAGTCACCAACCCGACCTCAGCGCCCGCGATCTCCTCCTTTACCTGATGTAATCAAGAATGCTCCCAGCAGACCACCATCTGTACCTCTGGCCAAGTCCACCATGCAGCTGAAAAAGAGCTCTTCAGCTTGGCCAAATATCAGCACTCCCAAACTGGCAAGCATGCTCTCCAAGGAGGAGGCCAGCACTTCCAAGACACACCAGCATACTCTGACAGCTGGGAAGTCTAACAGCAATTTAAAAACTCATGCCAAGCCAGGTACAACAACGAAGCCACCTTCTGCTGCCCTGCAGAATCCCAGAAGCTCACGTGAGACACCCAGTCCCAAAGCTGCCAAGGTGCCAGCAGTAAAGAAGTCTGCCACTGTCAAATGCCCACAGGTGAGACTCAATGGGATGAAAACTGTCATGTCCTTACCTACTATTCTGCATAGCCTGTCTTGCTCTATTGCATGGGATTTGCACTGTAGTCCCTGTGCAAGGTAACGTTTACTTTACTCTTGGGTTAGGGTGCCATTCCACACCCCTTATGAAGACTCGTTTCATCTCTTTCCTGTTAGACCAGACTGTTTCCCCAGAAATGAAGGAATGTTGAGTGGCAGGGTGAGTGTTTTCATGATCCTGTAGTACCTGCTAAAACCTGCTGGAAAAGCTAATGAACTACCAAATGAAATACTGGATTTTGAGGGCTTTTCTAATTTGGCTGAAAGAAGGATTTTGTTGGAAGCATGCTGGAATTATATCTTGAGCCTGTTTGCTTCCTGCAGGCCTCCACCACTCGGAAGAGAATCTTGAACGTCTCAGAGGATGAGTCTGAGGAGGAGGAGGAGCACAAGAAAGAGAAGACAAAACGGGGCAAATTTGTGGCTGTGAAAGAAGAGAAGGATTCCAGTGAGGTGGTGGTAGAGGTGAGAGTGCACTCGTTTCCCCAGCAGAAGGTATTTGTCAAGTGTTTATAATCTTGGTGGGAGGCAGCTAATCTGAGCTCTCTCCTCACAGCTTACAGACAGTGCTGGAGAAGAAGAGCTGGCAGAACTGAAGAAATCTCAGAAAGGTGAGAAATGAACCCTTGAACTGCCTCCGGTGTCTACCACAGTGGAAAAGAACTGTTGCAGAACTAGACTCGCTGGTTAAACATGTGATTTCATTAATGAGCTTTTTAAAGTAAGAACTAGTGTAAATTTGGGTCCCAAACCCCAAGATGACTAACTGACATGAAACATTTTGTCCAGGACCCCCTTGGTTAGAAAAGAGGCAACTGTAGCATGGGAAGATCTGTAATCAGAGGCCTGCATCACGTTAACAGGTGTGATGCTTGACTGCATGCTGTAGACTGATGTCACCCTTCCTCACTGAATGGGTCAGGGGGCTATGTTAGCTGAGAGATGCTGAGGACTGTATCTAGACTTGCTGCACTGCTGTGAGGGAAGAGGGACCAAGAGATCCCCAGGAAAGATGATAACCAGGATGTATTGCACCTTCTGCCAGAGCAGTGCATTTCTTCAGCTTCTTCCCAAGGAGCTGTCTGCAAACCCGTGGCAAATTGGCCAGCATGGGCCTGGAAAGCCCATGTCAAATAGCCCAGAGTACAGAGGAAACCTTTTGTCTGAAAATGCCGTATCTTGTATCTTAATGTTTCTAAGTAGGATTTGAACTGTGTGACAGTGTTGCTATGATTTGTGTACCATTTGAAGGAATTGTCACAGGTTTAGGTTGGCTCCCAACTGAGAGTCTTCTCTAGAGCTCTTGCAAAATGTGCTCTCCAGCATCCAAATGCTTGCAATCATCTTTGCTATTGTCCTCCTTGCAGATAAAGGGCTGCATGTGGAAGTGCGTGTGAACAAGGAGTGGTTCACAGGCCGTGTCACAGCTGTGGAGATGGGCAAGCATGCAGTACGCTGGAAGGTGAAGTTTGATTATGTTCCTACAGACACCACACCAAGGGATCGCTGGTAACTATCTCTAACTACTGGATTTTGGAGGCTTGCTTTGCTTTCAGGAGGAAGACCCCTTTTTACTTCCATAGATGCAGAAGACAGATATGTTACTGTCATGTCAGGGAGTGTATATGTGCTCAGGAATGTCCAGCTGCTTCATAAGGAATGATCAGGGCAGACTCCATCCAGTCTGCCGATCACTTTAGTGTGATGTTCCTGTGGAGGCAGCTGTTGTGTAATCTAGAGGTCTCAGAGTGAAGCTGGGTACAGATTCTGATGAAGCTGTTAACAGTGGTTCAGGTATGGTCAATGTAGAAAAAGATATGTGACTTTCCCTCACTGTGGTTTTTTTCAGGGTAGAGAAGGGCAGTGAGGATGTGAGGTTGATGAAGCCTCCCTCTCCCGAGTACCAGGCTCCAGATACACAGCAGGAAGAGGAGGTCATTGTGGCAGAACCTTCTACCTCAGACTGTGTCAGAATTGAGCCAGACACCACCGGTCCCACTAGTAGCCACGAAACAGTTGACTTACTAGTCCAGATCCTTCGGTGGGTTCACTGCAGTTCTGGTGAGCTGCTGCAGTCTGATTGCTTAAGTCTTTTAAACTCCCAATTCTGGCTTTGTGTTTCTCTTTTCCTGCCTAGAAACTGTTTGCGGTACTTCTTACCTCCCAATTTTCCTATCTCCAAGAAGGAGCTGAGTTCCATGAGCTCAGAAGGGTTGTTGGCGTTTCCCTTGGTGAGTTCAGTATATCTAGAAAAGTAAGTCTGGGGGTTTTCCCCACACACATTCCATTCTTATGGCAAGCATCCATCCTATTGATGCAAGATCACACTCTTCAGAAGATTGGTTGGGTCCTTCGCAGACTAATGCAGCTGAGAAAAGAATTAAACCCTCTGAAACATGCCTGAGGTCTTCTGACAGTTATTCTCTGAGGACTTTTTAAGTTACCATACATCTGTGTGGGAAAGCTGTTGGCTGCTCCTATCTTAACTTCTTGTCCATTGCGGCTAAGCTTTTAAAAAGTGAGGCCAAGTTTTGTAGAAACAGGATGTAGTCAGACTTGTTTGTTTTGCCCCCAGCCTTGTAAATCCAACTTAATTGGCGGTAATCTTAAAACTGGGAGAGAACAGAAGCCAACCTACTCACACTCCTCAGGGGAAGCAGGCTGACTGCCTGTGAGGCCGCTGTGCATCTTGAGGCTTTTGGTGCAGCCTCCAGTTGTTTGGGCAAGGAAGAGATGGGGGCTGAGCCTACACCAGGATCCCTGTGCTGGTGTTGGGAGGTCCAGTGCAGGCAGAAATGCAGAGAAATGGTAGTGGCTTCTCTGACTTCTTTCTTCTCTGACATACTATAAAGGGAGATCTTTTCAGGAGGCATCTGTAGGTTACAAAATCCACCTACAGGTGACTAAACAACAAAAGCCACTGCCTATTTGGCAGTCTTCACAGTGCCGTACTCCCTCATTCACAGTGTGTCTTCCTCTTTTCTGTTAATTCAGGCCTGTGCTTAAGTTACTGGTGCTTCTGCTTTCACAAGACACGTTGGTCCTGTCAGGAGTTTTCTGCATGTATAAATGTTCCTACCTCGCAGTAATAAACTGTGTTGTCTGGGCGATCTACACAAAGAAGTTTGATATGAACAGAGGCTGTCAGATCTTTCTACAGCATACCTGTGGGTTTAGGCTTTTAAATACATGCTGCATCCTTAATCTGAATTCAGGCAGCTTTTGTTGCAGTTCTGGTCTTTGAGGAACATGAAAACCCTTGTGACTGTTGTGCTGCCTCCAGCAGGCAAATCAGAAATGGAAATGTAAGTGTGGTAATAACCATGTGGAGAGCTGGTGGTGTTTGGTCATGGGATGCAGGTAGCTGGACTTTTCCACAAGCTGTGGATTTTCTTGCCGCTCGGTGCTTTTTCTTGACATAGCATTTGATGTGTTTTGTCTTCTACAGAAAGAATATTTCAGGCAGTATGAGGTTGGTCTGCAGAACCTGTGCAATTCCTATCAGACACGTGCTGATGCCCGGGCCAAAGCCTGTGAAGAAAACCTCCGCAACTCAGAGAGAAAGCTGAAGGAAACAGAGGAGAAACTGCAGAAGCTGAGGACTAACATTGTGGCCCTTCTGCAGAAAGTGCAGGAGGTAGGTCAGGAAGGGGTGTGAAACCAAACAACCCCATGAGTAGCAACCTTCCCAAGACCCAGGCCCCTCCAGTCACTTGAGCTGTTTCAGTCCAGCATTAACTGGGTTTCACCTTTCTCAATTGGGTGCAACTTGGGCTTAGATCATGAGAAGCAGCTGAGAGCGCAGCTCCTCTCGCTGTCCACCTTTTGAGTTCCAGGCATCCTGATGAGTGTTCATTTTCACAGATGCATTTTTCATGGCATGTATATAGTGCACAGTCTCTATTTGTTCTTTGTTTTTTGCTAGGAAATGTGGGGCTGCAGGAGAATTTCCCTGGGCACAGGCTGTGTTCTGCAAGGAATTTCTGCCCAGATCAGCTTAATAAATCTATTGCTTGAGTGCACTGTTTGAGCATCAAGTGCTGACTGATTTCCAGGCATTGTCCGTCAGGCTGTGACAAGGAAAGGTGGTGGTGTTTTCACAGCAGATGTCAGCAGCTGAAGAGGGCTGGAAGTTGGGGTGTAAAGTCTGACCAGGAGAGATGTTGCAGAGGATGCTGTACTGGTGTCTTGTCTGTTCTTACGCTGCTCTTCAAGATGCACTTCTCACTGGTATTTCTTGTGCCTTTGGTTTCAGGACATTGATATTAATACAGATGATGAACTGGATGCATATATCGAGGACTTGATTACAAAAGGAGATTGAGAAGCCCAGTACAAGTCCTAGAGAAGCGCAGAGGAGCTGGTTGCTGCGATGGGATTCCTGCAGTGGAGGACTGTAGTAGCTGATGAGGAGAGAGGGTTTTTAGACAGTACCTGTGTTGGTGTACAACTTGTGACTTGACACGAAGAAGACATTTGTGCTGTTGGCAGGCAGAATTTTAACACTGTAGTTCTCTGGATCTCTTCCTTTTGCTTATAAATATTTATTTTTAAAAGAAATAGGAACTGTGCCTGATACGATGGGAGGGTTGCTGTGTGGTTTTTAGCGAGGTAAAAGCATGAGTACCCTTTTGCATCTGGGGTATATTCATATGCTATACCTGGAAGACCTGAGCATACTGCCTAGCAAGGCAGTTTAGAATCTGGCAGCAACTTAAAAATAAGCCCTGGGTTATGGAAAAGGAGGCCAGGACTTGGACTTCAGAGATGCTGAACTTGGACTAGAGGAAGTCAAATCAGTAATTTGAGCTACATGGAGGAGGTCAAAGTACAGTCCCTGTGTGAACATGAGTGGAGGGAATAAAATCCCAGTGGTTCTGAAGGGGTTAGGGGTAGGGGATTAGCACTTGCCAGTGCCATGAAATTCCCAAATATGAGTTCTCCATAAGCAAGTGGCATTGTCACCATGGTAATAGCCAGAGGATGAGGAGCCTTTTAGAAGAGGATGGTCTCCTAAGCTGCTCACAGTGGGTTGTGATCATCAAAAGGAGAAGGCTGGAGTTCACATTCTTCTCTAGCAGTCAGCTTATTGCACACTTACTGCTGCTGTTACTCTGAGATGTAATTGCAGCGGCAGAAGAGCTCCTCAACCAGCTGAAAATAGAGTGACCGTCTGTTCTGTTGTCACTCCCTCAGGTGTGTGTTGCTTTGATCAACTTGCTCTTCCAGGTAATTTTATTGAGAGTGTTGGAATGTTGTGCTTATGGAGGCCTTCACCACTAAGTCCCATGTGGCTCTGGGTCAGCAGCCAGGGCAATGCCTTTCCCTTGTTCTCCCAGCTGAAGGCTACACTACAGCTGCAAGCAGATCATGTGTGGTGACCGTGGTGACTCAGTTTGAGTTCACTGCCTGGCCATCTGCTCAGCTTGGCCAGGGCAGGAAGTCCATTACGTTGGTGCTCAGAAAACTGAAATCCCTAGAACTTGGCAATTTGAAGAAAGAGTATGACCAAGAGGTGCCCACCTTCAAGAACATCAAATGAAATGGACCGTTGGGGTTCTTTCGATGGCTGAATGTGTAATAGATGTTTTGCAATAAAAAAGTCTGAACTGAACGTGCTGCGCAGAGAATCTTCAGCACTAATGGTTTATAGTCCTGGAGAACTCTCAAATTCTACATACTACAGGAAAGAGAAGACTTGCTTATTACTTGAATTCCAGGTCTTTGCAACAGCCTGCAGTGAGACTGACCGCTTCGATTCAGGATCTGGGCCTGAATATCCTAGTATGGATTGATGTAAGGAGGATCCTCCCACCCCCATACACCTTGGACTAAGGGGCAGCATTCCTTCAATGCAGGAGCAAGCTCCACTGGTTGTCTTGATTTCCTTGCACATACTGGAGGTTTTGTTCATTGTGGTGGCATGCTGGTGCTTCAGGTGAATGATCCTTCTGTAGAAACTGAGGTTTATAATAAGGTGAAGGAAGAAAGCTCTGTCCTCTGCAGGTGGCCAGCAGAAATTCTGCTTTATAAGATTCTGGTTTTATATTTTAAATTCTGATTTTAATTCTGGTTTAAGAACCAGGTTTTATTAAAATACAGTTCAGTTGGTGCAAGCTTCAACCTGGAACAGCCGGAGTATACTCGTGTGGGACAAAGAACTCTTGCAACACAGCTCCATCCTCAGCTTCTGCTCTCGGGTGTTAGTCGGGTTTTTTCCTCTGTTCTGTGGAAACTTCTCATTCCCTTATTATCATTATTATTATTATAAATTTATTATTTATTATTTCATGGCGTTTTCATTCTTTGCTCCTGTCCTGGGTATTTATGCTGAGTTACTTTTTGTCCCTGGGATTCCTTCCACTGGTACACTTGATGTGTCGTCTCCAAAGGTCCATTTTGCGAGGAAAAGCCAAGAGCTTCTTAGTGCCAACTAAAAGAAAGTTGTTCATTCTCAAAGTATCCCTGGTGGCCCCCATAGGAGCTTCTGTTGGATTTGATTTTCTTTTGACCTTATTAAATAGACTTGTGGGCAACATCAGATTTTAGTAATGCCTTAAAAACACATAGGAACAAAAATAACCTGCTCCAAATGAAGTGTACTCAAAAGCTGTATCATGTTGCTAAGGGCCTTTTCCAGATGAATCACAGAATCCCAGACTGGTTTGGATTGGAAGGGACCTTAAGGCTCATCCAGTTCCAACCCCCTCCACGGGCAGGGACACCTTCCACTAGAGCAGCTTGCTCCAAGCCCCTGTGTCCAACCTGGCCTTGAACACTGCCAGGGATGGGGCAGCCACAGCTTCTCTGGGCACCCTGTGCCAGCGCCTCAGCACCCTCACAGGGAAGAGCTTCTGCCTAAGAGCTCATCTCAGTCTCCCCTGTTTGTGCCCATTGTTAGTCATCTGTTCGGGAAATTCTTCCTGCGGCTGTCACCCAGACACACTGTGGCACACTTATTTCTACTGCTAAGGTTGCTAATTTATGTATTTAATAACGAGGCAGTAAAATAACTTTTTTATCATGAACTTTTGCTTCTCATGATAATTATTGCTTCAGGCCAACTTTGCCTCAGCTTCATGCATAGTCCAGGGGGACTCCTGTCAGCAGGACCACGATAGTCCTTGCTTGCTTCCCTTGCTGATGCGCAAGTCTGACCTTGGAACACGAGCTCTGTTCATGATCCTCCACCTTATACAGATTCACCCAGTTCCTCTTGCGGAGCGGGACAGGAACACCTGAGCTCACAGCCATTGATCCTCTCCCAGTGTGAAGGACACAGTCCTGCCTGCGTGTCTTTGAAGATCATGTGTTGCTGCTGCTCCTTGAAACCACATCACCAGCGTCAGATCTGGCATTTGGTATAATGGCAGCAGGATCAACATTTCCTTTTGTTTCTTGTTCTGCAAGTCATTCCTGCAGCCTGGGACAAGGCCTGGTGGGGCTTTGGGGTGCCAATTGCTCTCAGCCACCTTGCAGGGCTCATTCCCCTCATGCAGTGGGATACACTTGGTCTCCTTCCACCGTTACCAGGGTAAGCAGAGTACCTTAGGAGAGTACCAGTTATCTTGAAATCCCTCTTAGCAGCAGCTGAATTTGTTGTGGTCTCAGAGTCCTGGTCACACATGGACTGCCTTGGCCAGAGCCTGCCTTGTGGGATGAGACCAGATGCACAACTCTCAGATCATCTTACTCTTCCCTTTCTTATTAGCAAAGCTTCAGCTGCACAGTAGGAGCAGAAAAGACCCTCCTCTAAGCCTGCATTGGAAGGGAGGCTCCAAGAAAGCACTTCAGCACCCTTTAGGAGCCCTGCAGGACTCTGGGTGCCTGCCACATTAGTAGAATGAGAGATCAGGTTTATGGGGGACCTCTGGGAGCCCAGGTTGCATATCCAGTGGTCAGTGTGTGGGGAAGCCCAGTGCTTTGGGCCACTCCAGCCCAAATGCTCTCTCCCTGTTTTGCTGCCCACTGATGAGCAGAACAAGTTATCAATTCACTGTCTTCTTGTCCTGCAGCATGCCCCAGGAGAGGGCAGGGGATGGGCATGGGGATATTAAGGTGCTTCTGAGGCTCTTGCTATTACTTGGACACACTGAGCAAGGCATCTGAGCAGGGAGGGCTGTGTTGAGTTGTGGAAGTACAGCAGGATGGTGCCACAGAGCCCATCACTCTCATTGGGAAAGAGGAACCTGACTCCCAGTGTCATGGGCAGCTGGTCCTGAAAGAAAAAACAGCCCAGAAGCTTTGGCTTGGAAGAAAAGAGGAGTGGCACCAGGCCCATTGTGTTTGCATGGCGCACACAGCCCAAGGCCCTTGTCTTCCTTGTCTCTTCTGAGAAGCCTGTGGTGATGCTACCGAGCCGCTGTGTGCAGGGCTGCTGTGCCTGGGGCCGGGAGTCCCCGTAATGGGCTGGGCTCTGCAAAAGCTGACGAGAAGCTACACTGAGAAGCCAGGCTGGGGCCAGTGCCACCGCCCTCGCTCCTGCTGCCTCCATCCCTATCTCAGCGTATGTGGCTTTGGTTTTTGCTTGCCAAGCAAGGCACGGGCAGCCGTGCTCTGCGCGTCTGGTGGCTTGGCGCCCTGCAATGCGGATCTGGCACCAGAGTCCATTCCCATCCTGCCTCCCTTGCGCCATGCTCAGGCAGAGGCTCGATTGCCAGTGGGGGCCGTGTGGTAGAACCTATCGAGCGAGGGCACTGTCACCAGCCGTTCATGTCGCCTGCAGCCGCCCCCCCGCGCCGGCACCGCCGCCGGGATCCCCGTCCACAGGCGGGCACCGGCCCCTCGTGCTGCTGGGCTCGGCTCGGCTCGGCTCGGCTCCGGCTGGGCTGCTGCCCGGCTCGGCTCGGTTTGGCTGAGCTCGGTTCGGCTCGGCTGAACTCGGCTCGGCTCCGGCTGGGCTCCTGCCCGGCTCGGCTCCTGAGGCAAGGACAGTCGGCGACCGCGGCGGCACCTGTGGCCGTGGAGGGGCCCGTCCCCTTCAGCGGCGCCGCGCACTGACCGGGGGCCTCGTAGGCCGGCAGCGGAGCTGAGGCGGTGGCGACATCTCCCCTCTTGCCTGCCGGGGCCCTAGGCCGGCGTCCTCAACGGGTCCCGGCCTTCTCCGAGCACGCAGGGGGTCCTTCCTCTCCCCCACAGCCTGGCGTCGGTCACGGACAAGGGCACGGTACTGCCTGGGGGAGCCCCGGGAGCGAGAGGCCCGTGAAGCTCCAGGGCCGCCGGGAGCACCGTTCAGAGCAGCGCGGCTGGAGGCAGCGCGGTGTCAGCTCGAGCCTGTCCGCTGCTCGTGCTGCAGACACCCGGTTCCACCGACCCGCACGGCCCGGTGATGTTTCGGCTGGAGGGAGGTGCTGCAGGAGGGGTGCTCGCTCTGCGCGTTTCCTCTAGTGCGACAGCTGCTTTCGTCTTTTGTTGTGTGACAGGAGAGAGCTGGTGAAGATTTAGTAATTTCCCTTTGACTCTCCTCCTTCTCTAGGCTGGCATTCAGGGAGAAAGATGCCATTGAAACCATTTACCTGTCTGTTGCCTGAAACAAGGTTTCTTCACGCAGGCAGGCGTGTGTACAAGTTTAAAATCCGGTATGGCCACTTCAGCAGGTAAGCATGGTAAAGCTGCGAAGGCAACCTGCAGTCTGATGGCAGCATGTAGCAGCGAGTTAAGATCAAACCCCAAATTCAGATCTCGGGAGCTCCTCATTTCCTGCCTGCTTTCACAGAAACTGAAAGTGGTCACTTAAAAACTGCTCCTGTACTTTCCCATGCTGGGTACTGGCCTGGGAGAGTAAATTGAGCTGTAAAAATGCTCTCATTTCACTGCCTTATGTGGAGTTTGTGCTGCAGTGGGTGAAGGGGCTGCTTTTCCTGACAGTATTTTGAATTTTCTAAGTGTTTAAGTGAGAAGCTCCCCAGCCTTTACAGTTATTCAACCCCTACATGCCACACAGTCACTCAGTCACTGCCCCACAGTGGGATGAGAGAGAGGATCCTGGAAGGTAGAAGTAAGAAAACCCGTGGGTTGAGATAATGACAATTTAATAAGTAAAGCAAAAGGCATGTGTGCAAGCAAATCAAAATGTGGCATTCATGATGATGGGCAAGTGCTTTGCAAGTGGGAAAAACCTTGACCAGCTCAAGGGGTTCTGGAGTTTTAGTTTGAGAGAGGACTCAGAATCCTGGACGTTGTGATCTATAATCGCAGAAGTTTGAGCTGCTCTGGCAGCATCATGCCAAATAGGCTGTCTCTAGATCTGAAGCTACATGAAATCTCTTGCCACACTTGTCTCCTTTTTCCTTTGTGGAAGTAGGCTGGGTCTTTGAAACGCTGTTGCATGACTTTATTTTGGGATGAAGTAGAACACCATTGTTTCTTTAGCTTTGCTTAGCATTTTTCCTGGAACAGTGTCACATACAGGAGGATTAACCTTCCTCATTCTGTTCTCTTGTTCACTTTGGAAAGGAAGATGTGTTGTCTGATGGTGTTGTGTGGTGTTCAAAAGATCCTTGAAATGTTGCTCTTGTCTGTAACTGAGCTCTTTCCCTCAGTGTAATCCCTTTGGAAGGCTCTGCTGGTAGTGTGCACATGCTTCTGAAGAGCCTGTGGGTGTTTGATGTGGTG